CCAGACCATCCCAGTCCAGCGCTTGGCAGTGGGTGCAGCACCCAGTATAGCCTTCCCACTTCCAGCCCCAGCATTCATGTAAACTGGTCCAATCAGACCTGGCCTACACCAAGGCTTGGCTCTTACTTGTGCCACTATGTGCTGTGAATGAATCCTGCCCAGTCCACCCCTAAAACCGGCTCACACATATACCAGAGGGTGCTATAGCCCAACCTGGTCTAGCCTGTTCTCAGTCCCAGCTTGTGTGCAACAGCAGGACCTGCAACCTAGCTGGAGAGTTCCCCAAATTCCCCTACCAGGCTTGCTCCTGCTTTACATAGTCAATTTACATAGTAAATCAGGACATTTGATTGTTTTTCCCTGAAAAGTACACCCACATACAGTGTTAGGAGCTTGTGTTAAGAAACAGAACAGGTATTTTTTGTATCAAAATTGCACTGTTTTTCTTATCTCTAAAAACAAAGTTCTTCAAAGGCCATGCTTTATAATCCATAATTCTTTTAAATAATGGAAGATGAAAATTACTGAGCCCTTATCAGTACCAGAGACTGTCTTAATTTCATCTGAATTTCATTTAAATCTCATAGCAATCATATGACTTAGATAGCAGGAACAACTGCTTTACAGATGAATAACAAGGTTCTGAAAGCTGAGTATTTTCGTGAGAGCTAAGTTGGGTGTAGAACAGGCCAGGCTAGGTCTTGACTCCTGCTGAACTATGTGAAAGCTGTGTCTGGGCACGGACCAGGTATTGCTGGGTTGCAACATCCAACAACAAGAACCCAAATGGGTATGGCCAATTGAGAAAGGCCACTGTTCTTTCCAGGGTAGGAGATGGACAAAGTCAACCTGGGTCAACAACACATTAGTGTGCACAAGAACTGCCACTGGGAGGAAACACAGTGGAGGAAACTCCTTCACTGGGATGCAGTCCCTGCAAGTGAGTACAAGAAGCAAGGCAAGGAGCAGCCCAGATAACACCAGGTTACAGTTCCCGCCAACATACATGTGGGTAAGGTCTGGGGACAGCACATAATATCCACTGGCAGATCTGAGAACCAAGGCAAGGGGTAGGAGGACCCAGATCGGCCTGCAATACCAGCCAGTTCACATTAGGATTGGGACAGCAATTAAACTGGTCTGGGATAGGATGTAGCACCCACCAGTAGGAGCTGGAACAAGGGGCAGACTAGACTAGGTCAGGCTGCATAATAAGATTGCAGATGCTGAAGTGAAGCAAGTCATGCCAGCCTGCGCCAGTGGGGGTTGGGTTGGTGAGTCCTAGGGATGGGGATCTGACAGGGTTCGGATAATTTGCCTCAGGTCCTGGGGCCCTCCTGCAAGGTGGGGACTGAGTTCCTGAGCCCTGAGGATGGGGGAACTGGTAGGGCTTGGGTCGCCTGACCCCGATCATGGGACATGCCTTTTAGGTGGATTTGGGGTTGGTGAACCCCAGGGGTGGGGGAGCCAGTGATATTTTGGGCACCTACCTAGGTTCTTGGACTCGCCTGCAAAAACATGTCCTACTTAATGAAAAAGGCGAAGCAGTAGACACAAGCCCTGTTGTAAAAGAAAACGGCAGCTCAGTTGATACTGTAGCAGAAGAAAAACAGAACAAACTGGACAACTACTCCAAACAAACAATGACAGCAAAAAATCTCAGTGAATAGAGTCAATGGGCATTGGGAGGGTGACTTCATCCTCGAACTCGTGAAATTGGCAGCATTTCAGAACTACCCAAACCACTTGGACAGAACCCTCAGAGTATGTACACATTGAGACTCTAGGTTGATACGAGCTGGTGGTTCCTCATCCCTCGGTACCGGGACGTGTGGAAAGTCATGAGTGGTTTCCCCCTTTGTCTCTTCCATTCCCCAAGAAACAAGAAGAAGAAATAATAAATATGGAAGCAATGAGTACACCCAAGTTTCCCTCTGCTTCTATCCTTCCCACCCGGATTCACCATGTAATCATTATAAAAACTAATATTTATAATAAGAAAAATAAAACTGAGTATTTTAACCAAAGGTAGGCAAGCAATAAATGACACAACTATTATTTGAACCCAGCCAATCTAGTTTACACATTTAGTTGTTACCTAGCATACTCTGCCATGATATAGAGGTTTGGTCATCTTCAACAAATGCAAGCATTCAGGAAGTGGAATTAAGAGAAGTATAGTTAATGACTACATATAGGGAAGGATGTTTTCTGCAATAAAGAATGTTAGCAAAGCAACACAATTACAACAACAATTTAAATAAAGATGAGATATAATCTCCAATAATAATGTTGAAGAGGAATATTTTTTTTTATCAGAAAGGCAGATATACAGAGAGGAGGAGGAGGAGAGAGAGAGAGAGAGAGAGAGAGAGAGAGAGAGGAAGATCTTCATTTTGCTGATTCACTCCCCAAGTGGTCGCAACTGTTAGAGCTGAGATGATCTGAAGCCAGGAGCCCGGTGCTTCTTCCAAGTCTCCCACGTGGGTGCAGGGCCCCATCTTTAGGCCATCCTCAATTCTTTCCCAGGCCACAAGCAGGGAGTTGGATGGAAAGTGGGGCTGCCGGGACATGAACTGGTGCCCATATGGGATCCCAGCGCGTGCAAGGCAAAGACTTAAGCCACTAGGCTACCGTGTCAGGCCCTTTTATTTATTTATTTTTTTTTAACTGGAAAGGCAGATGTACAGAGAGAATGAAAGGAAAAAAGTTTTACTACATACCTGGAACAATATGTTTATTGTACTTTAAAGATGTATTTATTATTTTTGTCGGGAAAGCAGATGAGATTTACTGAGAGAAGTAGAGACAGAGAATAATCTTTCATTCTCTGGTTCACACCTCAAGTGGCCAAAATGGCCAAAGCTGAGCCAATGCAGGCCCCAAGGCTTTGGGCCATCGTCCACTGCTTTCCCATGACAGAAGCTGGGAACTATATGTGAAGTGGAGCAACCAGGATGCTAACTAGCGCCCATATGGGATCCCGACACTTGCAAGGCCAGGGATCTAGCCAATTTAGCAAACTGAGCTATTGCCCCAGGCCCCTTATATTGCTTTAATTATGGTGTTTTCCCTAAAGCTGTATGATTGGTTAAAAAACATTTTTGCACTGGGAATCACTGGAACTGGATTTCAGTTATTCTTGCAATTACCTTACTCAGGGAACTTGACAAAGCCACTAGACATTTATGGCCTGGTTTCCAAGAAATAATATTTTTCTGCTAGAAAAAAAATGCTGTAAGAAGAAAATAAACAAAAATTTTTTTTCTGAGAATGATATAAAAAACATTAGTTTCAAGAATGTATTCTTTAAAAAAGATTTTATTCTTGGGCTCAGCATGGTGGCTTAGCGGCTAAAGTTCTCGCCTTAAACTCACTGAGATCCCATATGGAAGCAGGTTCTAATCCCGGCAGCTCCACTTCCCATCCAGCTCCCTGCTTGTGGCCTGGGAATCTAGTTGAGGAAGGCCCAAAGCCTTGGGATGGACCCTGCACCCACGAGGGAGACCTGGAAGAAGTTTTTGGCTCCTGGCTTGGATCAGTGCAACACCGACCGTTGCAGTCACTTGGGGAGTGAATCATTGGATGGAGGATCTTCCTGTCTCTCCTCTCTGTATATCTGACTTTGCAATACAATTAAATAAATCATTTTTAAAAAGAATTTCTTTGCTTCGCGCTTGGATTTTCAGTTCTGCTGTACGTCTGCTGCCTTTTATGTAATAAAACCTTGTAAAGAGTAAAAAAAAAAGAATTTATTCTTTAAATTGGAAGGAACAATATTGGTTTATTTCATTAAGTTTAAAATTATGTTGGTAGTGAGGACTGAAAGCAATACCTGTGAATTTGCCAAGAAATGTTTTATTAAGTTAATAGAAAAGATACATGGTAAATCATTTTTTTTTGCATATATGCAAGCTGGAATGTCTAGCCATTTAAGTGCTGTTGGTAAGTTGCTTTATTCCAGCACAGATACCCTTAAATGAAGTTAGCTTTTGACTAAAGTCAGTTCAGTTCAACTTACATTCTTTAGAAGTGATTTAGCCTGTACCTAAGGAAGCCCATGCTGTGTGCCTCTGACTTCCACAGTCCCCTGTGCACTGGGAACTGCTGGGCATGAGGTGTTTGGGGTGAGACAGGAAGCATTTCTATTCAGAATTTCTGATAAACTGCCCAAAAGACTTCACAGAAGCAAACAACCTGATTTTCTGCTGCTCTAATAATTTGTTATGGGCTCTTTCTGTAGCCCACATACTTACGTGTTAAGTCTAAGTTTGTATCCATAATATTATACTAAAGCACCTTTCTCAATTATATGCTTCAGACTCAAATGCCAGTATTTATTGTGCTACTATGGATTATGGACTGAAATAATGAAGAAATCCCCCCCTCTGCCCCCGTTTTGTGCAAGAAAAGAAAGTAGAAGGAGACATAAAATAGAATTAAATGCCTCTCCAGGGATAAAAACAAAGAAAAATAGAACATACAGGGTAAATGTTAAGTAGAAGAAAGAAGGAAAATAATAATAATTAATAGTAGTAGTTTCAGTTGGTTCAGCCCTGGCCCTTGCGGGAGAGAGATCTATTGGGAGGGAAGATTTGTCTCTGTAATTGCGCCTTTTAAATAAATAAGTTAAAAAAAAAAAAAAAAGCATTGCACTCTGCTGGAACTAAGAAACGTTGGATCGGTGGAATCCACATTATCTTCAGGAAAAAGAAGACACAAGATCATATATTCTGTCCTTTTTCGAGACCTGAAAGACGGATAACAAAATCTCGACCTGGACTGCTTCCTCCAAGATCTGCATCCAGCGAATCCAGGCAGGCCAGATCAGAATTGCGCGGTTCCATCACGGAACCGGCATGAAGCTCTCGCGAGAGCCTTCCGACCGGCGAGAGCTCGCCGGATCACTGACGCCCAGCTTCGCTCCTTCTGCTATTGCCGGGCGGGCCGGAACTTTAGTACAGAGGAACGGGTTTACTCAGTTGGGTGTTGCCGGCCGGCGTCCTGGAGACTCGGCTTGCACCCTCTTCCTGTCCCGCAGCCCGGGCGGAGCGGAGCGGAGCTGATCTGAACTGGGAGCGCGGTTACCGGTCGGGCTGGGTCTATGGTCGCTCCGCGGGCCGCTCCGCCGGCTGGTGCTTTCTTATCAGGACAAGCTGTGTTCGATGGCCGGGAACTTTTGGCAGAGCTCCCACTAGTAAGTGCTCGCCGGGCGCCGCGCGTCGGGCTCGCCGGGCCTGCCCCGGGGGACTCCGAGCGGGTCCCCGGAAGTGCGAGGCTGTGGTCCGTGTGAAGCTGCTGCTCTCCGTCTCCCGGGAGGAGGAGAGTCAGTGTCCCGAGGGAGGACTCGGGTGGTCGGGCTGGGATTCTGGGCTTAGCTGCGCGGGTAGGGTGAGGTGTTGTCAGCTGTGGATTGTGTGGGTCGCATGGGGACGCGAGGCAGCCTGCCTGGGGGTTCTTCGGGGGATTGGCATCGTGGCCCTTTGTCGTTTACCTTCTGTTCATCCGAGGATAGGTGGGAATCGAGCTTCTGCCCACGGATGGGTTCCGGCAGCAGTTTTAGGCTAAGCTGGAGTTTTCTGTTGGTAAAACATGAAGTGCCTCTGATGTCTGACAGGAGCATTGATAAGGCTTTTCTTGGTAGAGTTGAAGTAAACAGAGCTTGATAAAAATGTCTCTTTGTGAATTTCTCATACTAAGCTTTAGTAAATGTAAAAGATTTTGTTTTGTGAGTTAGAGTCGTTTTTTTAGACATTTACACAAGAAAAAAGTGAACTTGTTAATTTTCAGAAAAGCTGGTTTTCCTCTTGCTATCAACTCCATGAAACTCAATCCGCAATCCTTCGAAGCTTGGCTTCCATTCACATCTTTGTTACACGTTGTTTACATTCCTTGGACCATTTTGTTGGGCAAAGTTAAAATGTAGACAGTTTTAAGTAATGAAGGAAAGAGATACTATGTTTCTCAAACAAGCTGAGAAATTTGCCTGCAGTTGTCAATTCTTCAAAATACTGTGCTCCCTGACCCGTTTAAAGTGATAATTTCGTTTTTCTTAACCTTTGTTTACTGTTGGCAAGAAAGATTGTTTTTTCAAATATAAACTAAAGCATGCTTCTTAGACATTGTCTTTGCCTCCCAGTTCACAGCTCTGCTTGGCTCACTCAGCTCCTTGAGAATCAAACAGGATTAGATCTGCAAAGGATAGCAAGTATGAACACCAAAATAATTTATATAAACAAAGGCTATGAAAGGCCAATCTTAAGTAAATTTTTTAAAAAAAGATTTATTCATTTTAATTGAAAGTTAGAATTACCGAGGAGAGGAAGAGACAGAAATCTTCCACCCTCTGGTTTGCTCTCCCCATGGCCATTGTGGTCAGAGCTGGACTGGTCGGAAATCTTCTTACAGGTCTCCCATGTGGGTACAAGGATCCAAGGATTTGGGCCTCTCTTTGCTGCTCTCCTAGGCCATCAGCAGGAAGCAGGATCAGAAGTGGAGTGGCTGGGAGATACAGGACGCAGGCACTATAGACGGAGTATTAGTGTGCTGTGCCACTGTGGCTGCCCCTTTAGGTGAATTTGGTGGGGGTGAGGGTTGGGACAGAGAAGCTGTGTTTCACACTTCTAATGTACATTTTTCACATCTTTTCTGAACTCAGCATGGTAGGCTTTTTAAAAATTATTATTAGCATTTGAAATAATGATTCTTTTTGTTTGTTTGTTTGTTTTTTAAGATTTATTCGTCTTGTTGAAACACTTAGACAAAGGAAGAGACCAAGATCTTCCATCCACTGGTTTACTTCCCAAATGGCTGCACCCGCTGGTTACTGGATCCAGATCAGGATAGGACAAAGGCTGGAGTCTGGAGCATCTTTCAGAGTTTGACAGGAGTGCAGGGACCTGAGCACTTGGGTCCTTTTGCTGTTTTCCCAGTTTCAGTAGCAGGGAGCTGGATTGAAAGTAGAGCTTTAGAACTCATCTGGTGCCCATATGGAATGCCAGCATCGCAGGTGGCTATACCCTATCACTGGCCCCTACATGTAACCTGAAACATGATGAAAGGTAACAGTCTTCTTGGTTTATCTCTCACATAAAGTGCTCATCAGGAGAACTTTAAAGATACTTATTTGTAGGGCTGGGTAAGGTAGTCTAGCAGCTAAAGTCCTGGTCTTCACACTGGGATCCCATATGGACGCCAGCTCTAATCCTGGCAGCCCTACTTCCCATCCATCTCCCTGCTGGTGGCCTGGGAATCTAGTTGAGGACGACCCAAAGCCTTGGGACCCCACACCCCACACCAGAGAAGGCTCCTGGCTTCGGATCAATGCAGTTCTAGGCTGTTCCAGCTGCCTGTGGAGTGAATCAGCGAATAGAAGATCTTCCTCTGTTTCTCCTCTGTCTATATATGTGACTTTACCAAAAAAAATTATTTGTAAAATTTATCTTTTTAAAATGAAGTGACTGTCGATGAAATTGAATAGCAAATCATAGTATACTTGTATTTCAGAAGGTTGAAGAACAAAACATGTTCTTTGCCCAAAATTCGGTAAAACCGGAAGGGTGGCAAATATTTACTGATGAATTGAATGACCTAATTAGTAACAAAAGTTGAATTGTAGGGACTGACGTTGTAGCAGGTTAAACAAGTTAGATTATAGCCCGCTCCACTTCTGATCCAGCTCCCAGCTAATGCACCCGAGAAAGCAATGCAAGATGGCCTAAGTCCTTGGACCCCTGCATCCACATGAGAGACCTAGATGCTCAGGCTCCTCTCTTCAGCTTGTCCAGCCCTGGCTGTTGTGGTCATTTGGGAAGTGAACCAGCAGATTGAAGATCTTGCTCTCTCTCTCAGTCTATCCCCTCTCTGTAAATCTGCCTTTCGAATAAAAATTACCAGGGCTGGTGTGGTGGTCTAGTATGCTAATCTTCAGGCCGTGAGGCTTGCATCCAAAATAGGCACTGGTTCTTGGTCCAGCTGCTCCGCTTCCAGTCCAGCATTGATGGCCTGGTAAGGCAGCATAAGATGTCACAAAGGCTTGGGCTCCTGCCACCCACATAGAAGACCCAAATGAAGTTCCTGGCTCCCAGCTTTGAACAGCCCAGCTCTGGCCATTGTAGGCCATTTGGGGAGTGTACCAGCAGTGTACTTGCCTGTTTTGGGTAAAAAATAAATATTCAGTCTCAAGGTACTATTTCTTCCTGCATTTTATTTTATTTCTCCCTTCAGTTTATTTTAATACAGTCACCCAAAATTTTGAATGGGCTTTTTTTTTGGAGAGGTGGGGAGCACTTAACATCATCATGCTGAAATTCAGGACTTAGAATAATTGTGACAGAATAGACAAGAATTTTTCTGAAGAATAGCAGCAAGGAGTATTTTTCATACTAGATTCTAATTATTTAATTTTATATTGTGGGATTTAAAACATTTTTATTTAAAAGCAGAAAGATACAAGCAGATCGTCTACCTGCTGGTTCACTCTCCAAATGCCTGCCCTCTCGGATGGCTGAGCCAGGCCAACCCAGGGTCCAGGAGCTTCATTTGGATCTCTCACCTGGGTGGCAGGAGCCCAGTAGGCCATCTTTGTGCTTTTTTTAGGTCATTAGTGGAGAGGCGGCTTGTACCTGCTATAGTACAGCCCTGGCCCCTGGTTGTGTTCTTACAGTCTGTACATACCAGATACCAAAATAAATTCCATATAGATCAGAAATTGAGATTTTGGGGCCTTTAAGAGCATTACAAAAAATACAGGTGGATTTATTTTTGTCATCTTGAATTGGCAAAGTATTTTCTGTGGTGACAAAAAAATCAAAATAAAGATAGGTAGATTAACGTAGATTTGTGACTTACAGATAAATATTGTGAAATATTTAAAGTAGGGAATGGAGTTCCTGGCTCCTGGTTTTGGTTTGACCTGGCACTGTCCACCTTGTTCAGTAGAGAATGGACCAGTGGGTGAAAGATAACTGCATGTCACTCTGCCTTTCACATAAATACAACAAATCGTAACAATGGAAGCAAGGAAGGAGAAAAAGGAAATGACAGTTGCATTGGAAGAATGGTCACATTAGATTTCATAAGATACAAAAGAACTATATTTGGCCAAAAAGGCAGAGTGACAGGATGATTTGATTGTTCATTCTGCAAGTGGCTGCAGTGATCTGGGCTGGACTGGGCCTAAGCCAGGAGCTAAGAATTCTACTCTGGTCTTAAAGTGGATGATGCTTTTTCTCTCTGTCCTTCTCTCTGTAAATCAGACTTTCCAATAAAAATAAATAAATCTTTAAGAGAGAGACTGGCACAGTAGTCTAGTGGCTAAAAGTCCTGGTCTTGCACACAACAGGATTCTATATGGGTACCAGTTCTAATACCAGCAGCCCCACTTCCCATCTAGCTCCCTGCTTGTGGCCTGGGAAAGCAGTCAGGGACAACCCAGAGTCTTGGGACCCTGCACCCATGTGGGAGACCCGGAAGAACTCCTGGCTCTTGGCTTTGAATCATCTCAGCTCCAGTTGTTGCGGCTGTCTGGGGAGTGAATCAGCAAATGGAAGATCTTCTCTGTTTCTCCTCTCTCTATGTCTGATTTTCCAATAAAAATAAATAAATCTTTAAAAATATATTAATGTTAAAAAGGATGGGTAATAACTATCTTTAAACATTTCTTTTTCCTTTTGTGCTTCTTAAAATGTACACTTAATTTTGGAGTGTTTTCTGTAATTTTTGCCTGTTGATTTTTCTATTCATTTCTTATGTAACATCTTCACTTCTTCCTAGTTTGCAGTGGATTTTGGATAAACAAGATCTGTTGAAAGAACGCCAAAAGGACTTAAAGTTTCTCTCAGAAGAAGAGTATTGGAAATTACAAATATTTTTTACAAATGGTAAGTGTTTTTTAAGTTGGGTGAAGCTATATAGGTGGTTACCCCTGAATGAGGATGTTTTTGTAAGATAATTTAATGAATGGTTATGGCCCATACTGAAATTTTTCTTTACATTCTTTTTACAACTTATGTTTTGAATGATTTAAGTGAAGTTTCTTGTGAATCTTTTCAGAAGCTCTTAAGACAATTTAAAGTGTTACCCAATTTCCTAAACCTTGATAATGGATTATTGTTTTTAAAACGTTTTAAATTTTATCTTCATTTTTATTTGAGAGACACGAATAGACAGGCCGACAGAGATCTTCCATCTGTTCATTTGTTCCCCAAAGATCTTCAACATCCAAGCCTGTGTCAGGCTAAAAGCTGGAGCTCACCACTCTGTGCAGTCTCTCATGTGGGTGTTGGGAAGCTGTGTATTTGACCCATCATTTGAGGCCTCTCAGGGTACTTGTTAGCAGGAATCTGAATCGGAAGCAGAGGACCTGAATCAGGCAGCCTGATGCGGGATGCAAGCATCAACAGCGGTGTCTGAACTGCGCAAATCCCTGTCATGCATTATCGCACTCAGTTTAGGGTTGGTTAAATTACCTACCCAACATTTACTTTGACAGTAAATGTTTCTTTAGTTTAATATAGATAGATAGATAGATAGATAGATAGATAGATAGATAGATAGATAGATTGACTGATTTTTATTTGAAAGATTTACAGAGAGGAGAGACGAAGATCGTCCATCTACTGGTTTATTCTCCAAATGGCTACAATGGCCACATCCAAAGTCAATCCAAAGTCAATCCAAAGTCAGTAGCCTGGAGATTTCCAGGTCTCCCAAGGCTTTGGATCCTCCACTTCTTTCCCAGGCCATAAGCAGGGAACTAGTTGGGAAGTGGAGCAGTTGGGACATCAATGCCCATATGCGTTCCTGGCATTTGAAAGTGGAGGACTAACCAGTTGAGTTATCATGTGGGCCTCTAGTTTCATATTCTGTAGTAACCTCTTTTATCTTAGAACTCACTTTGTAGGAAAGGGGGTTTAGAATTGAAAGAAATTTTGAAATATAAAAATATGTAAAAGCATGAAAATATTTATAAGCTAGAAGATAAATACCTATTCATTCAGTCTCCTTAATACAAAGAATACATTTTGCTTTGGGGCAATTTCTTTTTTCCTCCTCTCTGTTGTTGATTAGGCTACTTATGTTTATTTTTGAGCCAGTTTGCACACCCTAATACTACATCACTGTGATCCAAATGGAGCTCTGCAACATGTGTGGGTTTTTTCTCCTAGTTGAAAATGAGTTTAAAAAAAAAAAGAATAAAGTCATGTTCAAGGGTAATAGTGATATCAGAGATATATTTAAAATTTTACTATTTCCCTTTTAGTTATCCAAGCATTAGGTGAACATCTGAAATTAAGACAACAAGTTATTGCCACTGCTACGGTCTATTTCAAGAGATTCTATGCCAGGTAGGACGATTTTATTCTGGGAATATACTAAATATCTTTAAAACTCATTTCATGTTGATGAATCATGTGTTTGCTGTGGAGTTAACTCAGTATTTTTTTCTTCAGTGTGTTTTAAAATTGGTGACATTTGACTTTGTTTTATGATATTTTAGGTATTCTCTGAAAAGTATAGATCCTGTACTAATGGCTCCTACATGTGTGTTTTTGGCATCCAAAGTAGAGGTATAAAACAATTTTCTGCTCTTTATAAATTTTGGTTAATCTGCCTCAGTTTTTACATTACTTATTTAAAGATAACAGTAGCTGGTGATTTAAGCAAAATACAAGTTTTACGAAAGTCATAAATAATACAAAGCTTGATATATTTTAAAGGCTTAGATAGCATTTATCAGAGTGATTTTGTAAATCCTTTTACAAGTAGTTAAACCTCATTAAAAAAATGGAACATATAGTAGTAGAGTTCCTATTTTATAAATGAAGAGATTGAGGCACAGAGATTAAGAAGTTTCTTAGGACCCTAGTGGCTAAAGTCCTCGCCTTGCACGCCCCAGGATCCCATATGGGCACCAGTTTTAATCCCAGTGACCCTGAAAAAAAAAATCAATTCAATAAATGTGCTTGCTTATCTCTGATAACCTGGGATGTTTCCTCTCTGTCTTGTGATTGGCTGCCTACCAAGCCATCAAGAAAAGTAAAGGAATGGCAAGGATTAGGAGTGGCTACAGCTGTGGAGATTCTGTCCAAGAAAAACTTGAGTGATAAAAGTAGAGAAATGATGTGAGGGAAGAAAAAAGACACAATTGACACAGAATTTTTGCTTAACATATAATACCTTTTCAATATTTTTGAGGAAGCTCTGCTAAAATCCAGAGAAGAATAGCAGATATTGATTAGTTTCCTAATCCTTTGTGGGTTTGTTTGTTTATTTGTTTTTGTCCTTTAGGATTTATTTATTTATTTGAAAGGCAGAGTTACAAAGAGAGGAGAGACAGGGCTCTGCATGGTGGCCTAGTGGCTAAAGTCTTCACCTTGAATGCCCGGGATCCCATATGGGCTCCTGTTCTAATCCCGCAGCTCCACTTCCCATCCAGCTCCCTGCTTGTGGCCTGGGAAAGCAGTCAAGGACAGCCCAAAACCTTGGGACCCTGCACCCGTGTGGGATACCTGGAAGAAGTTCCTGGATCCTGGCTTCGGATCGGCTCAGCACTGGCCGTTGTGGTCACTTGGGGAATGGATCATGGGATGGAAGATCTTCCTCTCTGTGTATCTGACTTTGCAGTAAAAATAAATGAATCTTAAGAAAAAAAAGAGGAAGGCGAGAGAGAGCTTCCATCTACTGGTTCACGCTGCAAATGGCTTATGATGGCCAGAACTGGGCTGGTCTGAAGCCAGGAACCTGGAGCTTCCTCTGGATCTCCCGCTTGGGTGCAAGGACCCAGGTATTTGGGCCATCCTCTGCTGCTTGCCAGATGCATTAGTAGGGAACTGGATCAGAAGCTAAGCAGCTGGGACTAGACCTGGTACTTGTATGGGATTCTGGTGCCACAGATTCAGGCCTAGTGTACAACGGCATGGCACCAGCCCCTGCATTCAGTGTTTAGTATTACAGAGCCTTTGTTTCATTATTCTATTTTTAGATGATATCTTTAAAATAGCAGTATGGTTCTTGAATATTAAGAGAGTGTGTTTGTGTGTGTGTGTTTTAAAAATTTTTTATTTGAAAGGCAGTGTGACAGGATGAGAGAGACAGACAGGCCTTCCATGTGATGTTTCAGTCTCCAAGTATCTGCAATGATCTGGGCTGGGCTAGGCCTACACCAGGAGCTAGGAATTCCACTCTGGTCTCCCAGCACATGGCAAGGACTCAAGTATTTGGGCCATCTTCTGCTGTTTTCCTAGACACATTATCAGGGAGCTAGGTTGGAAGTGAAGCTTAAGAATATCACAGGCACTGCTTAAACAGCTGAACCACAATGCAGACACACTTGAATATGTGTGTTTTACTTTTTGGTACTTTCCCTGATTTAGTTTTGTGCTAGCCATTGTTTAGGATTACCACTGCCATTTCTCTTAACTATTAACTCAAGACTGAGAATTGACCCTATAATAAATGACAGTAAGGAATACTTTCTAGTGCTTAGATGATTTTTCCATTTTAGAGATAATTTAAGGAGGCAGGACTGGCCTTGTTAAATTTTTTAATGGACAAGAAAGTGTTTACAGAAGGATTTTACAATGGGATGGTTTTTCCAGATATTACCACATCATGTTTTATTTTATGCATCTTAAATAGAACCATATGGGGTTCTATGACAAAACCTTTATAAACCTCTCTCGTCTTATAAATTAACTTACAGGTTTTAATTTGTCTTTTTTATTTGAATTTATTCAGTAGAGTTCTGTTCTAATTTAATTGAGTTAAAGTTTTTGCTTTTAAAATTTTGGGTAAGGAATTATTCCTGAAAACAAAAATTTGGTTGTAGTATTATTTTTTATTCCTAATTATGTAGTATTTTTTTAATCTCTAAATATGACCAAATCTTTGTGTTCCGTCCAGTTATACAAAAAATGTGTAGAAATGGCATTTAGAAAAATATTTTAGACTTTAGTTCTTATTTTAAGTTGTTACAATTGGAGATTTTAATATATATAAATATATTCACACACAAAGATTTCTTTTACAGAGTAAGAACGTAGTTGAGTACATGGATTTTTAGGGTTTTTTTGTATAAAGAACAAATTCTTAATTTCTGTTTTTAAATCAAATACTCTGTGAATCTTATGAGGTTAATCTGAAATTCAATGATACAATAATGTACATTAATATGTTTCAGTTATTTTTACATTGAAAGTATATTATGGTGACAGAGCAAAATGGGAACTGACCTTGGAAGGTTTACACTCCGTCGTTCTTATTTCCCTATTCCAAAAGGGATATGTATTGTGTGGCTTTTGAAGCTGTTTTGGTGACAGTGAAGTTTATTCTATTCAGTATTCATTCTTGCAATTACATGTTGAAAGCAAATTCTTCCTTGGAAACTAAATGTTGAAAACTGGCATTGGTACTGTAAGGTCTCTGGTATTCTAGTTTGTTGTCCTATTGCTATTAAATTACAAAATTATGATTTTTTTTTTCTTAAGTTGTGGCAATACCAAGAGACCGTAATACATTAGAAATTTAAGTACTTCATGCCCTTGAGCCTTAAATACGTAGCCGGGAAGCAGACTGCAAACATAGCAGGAGAGCTAGGAAATAACTGCTTTGAATGGATCTCGGATAACCCTTAGATGTATTGGGTTAGTGTGTACCTCACTTCACCCATTTTTCTTTCTCTAGGAATTTGGAGTAGTCTCAAATACAAGGTTGATTGCTGCTGCTACTTCTGTATGTAAGTGTAAAAAATATATCTTACTATATGGATATATGAACGTTCTACAGTATATTTTTAATATATGAGATTTTTTGAGAGAGTAGTTGGCTTTTTACCATTCAGTAGTAGTTGGGGATACCTCATGGCTATTTGGCAAAAAAAGAAAAATTAGTTAAATGAATAAATTGTTTTCTTTTTACTTATTATTATTATTATCATTTTATGATATAGTTCCATAGGCCCTGGGATTTCCCTCACCCTCTTCTCAAGTCCTAACTCGCCCCGCCCCCCGAGTTCACCTTTTATTATTACTATAGTATAGTTCTTCATAAACAATCATATGTCCATCATTGTGAGCATGGACTATGGCAGAGAGTCCGGCATCCTATTGTCAAGATACAGTTAACATTGGGAGTCCATCTTTGGTCTGGAAGTAGAGATGCATACTGCATTGTATTCTCACATCTGGATATGATCATCTCCATTACACAATTACCATACATCCCCTTAAATGAAAACCATAATACAAAATCAAAAACAGGAAGAAAAATAGAAATTTACAATGCCATGAACTTAAATAACATGCTACTGGATATGACAGTCTCCATCACACTGTTACAGTAAATCCCTTTAAACAAAAAGCCACAGGCCCAGCGCGATGGCCTAGCAGCTAAAGTCCTCGCCTTGAACACTCCAGGGTCCCATATGAGCGCCAGTTCTGATCCCGGCAGCCCTGCTTCCCATCCAGCTCCCTGCTTGTGGCCTGGGAAAGCAGTCGAGGACCGCCCAAAGCCTTGGGACCCTGCATCCATGTGGGAGACCTGAAGAAGCTCCTGGCTCCTGGTTTCAGATTGGCTTAGCTCCAGCAGTTGTGACTGCTTGTGGAGTGAATCATCGGACAGAAGATCTTCCTTTGTCTTCCTCCTCTCTGTAAATCTGACTTTGCAATAAAAATAAGTAAATCTTTAAAAAGGCACAAAACAAAATCAAAAACAGGAAGAAAAAATTAAAAACACCATGAAGTTAAATAACATGCTACTGAATTGACTAATGTGTCGCTGAAAAAAGGAAAACGAAAATCAGGAACTTTCTTGAAGAAAATGATGCTACTGTATGATGTATGAGTCAGTGAAGAATTTAATGGGAAAGAAAGTGTTTTTCAACAAAATAACCAAGACTCAAAGTGAGATTATTTTGGTATACCTTTCTTTTTAGTGTCTTATCAGTTATTTGATTCATTTTCTGGATAATTAATGTTTTTGACCAAGAACATTGCTTGGATGTTTTTTAAAGTACAAAAAGCGACAGTTTTTCCAGAAAAGTTTCAAGACTCCCAAAGATTAATTTCCAGTTTATGAGTTTGTTTTTATTTTCAATCTATGACTTGACTAGTACTGGAGCTGCAATTTGATAGTAATTAGAAATGTTGTGATTGATATAAACCTGTTTGGTTCAGCAAACTGAAATGATTGCCATAGACAGTGTTCTATTTTCCCAGTTGGTGTTGATTTGTGAGCACGCTTTAAGATGAAAAAAGCATGAATGATAACTTCCTTAAAAAAGGTGCAGCATCCAATTCAGATATTTTGTCCTAATTTTAAAGCTGGTTGGTGTAGTGCTGTTAAAATTTTGTTCAGTTAATTTTCTCTTTTAAAACTTGTCCGCACATTGTTTAGGGTGCCCTTACTACAGCAAAGGAGAAAGAATAGGAGAGTCTTGGAATTTCTGAGAAAAAAAAAACTGTAACATACAATGTACTGTATCAAACTATTTTACATGAATGACACAAGTATTCTGAACAAAAAAATTGAACATTGTTTAAAAAACAAGGTGTTATATAAATTTTTTTTCAAAAATCAAAAAAAGTGTTTTGAAGAGATGAAACTAAACAAAAATTGAAATCCATGAGATATACTTTCTGCTGATTTTTGTTGGTGTGATATGACTCCTGTAGGCAACAAGTAGATGGGTTTTGTTTTTTTAAATCCAGTCTACTTAGCTATAATGTTTGATTGATGAGTTTAAGTCATTTGCATTCATGGTTAATATAAATAGGTGATAATTTGTTCCTGTCATTTAGCAATGGATTGCTGATTGATTTAGTCTTCTGTTGTTATTTTACTGGGATGTTCTTCACATTTGCCTTTGGTTTTGTTTGGTGCTATTCCTTTTCTGTCAAGAGAACCTCTTTAAGTATCCTTTCCAGGACAGTTTTGGAAGAGGCATATTCTTTTAACGTTTCTTTACTGTGGAAGAATTTTATTTGATTTTCAAAGACAAAGGAAATATTTGCTGGGTACGTTATTCTGGGCCAACAATTTTGTTGCTTTTAGAATCTGGAGTATGTCACTCCATTCTCTTCTGGCCTGTAGAGTTTCCTGTGAGAGGTCTCCTGTGAATTTAATTGGCATTCCTTTATGTGCCAGCTTTTCTCATGAGCACATTTAAGGATTATTTTTCCCTATGTTTGGTTGAAGATAGCTTGATTATCATGTGTCTTGGTGAAGTTCACTTTTGATCAACCCTGTTGGGAGTTCTGTGCTTCTCATTGTTTATAAGAAACTTTATAACAAGTGTTTTGAATTCTGTATTCCTCATTTTTTCCATGTCTTCCTCAGTTAACTCTGAGGTTGGCAAAGGCTTTTGCTCCTTTGAGGGGAATCTTATGTAATATTCATTATGCCTCTGTTTCTTCTTTTGCTCTTGGTCATTGTACTTCTAATTATCAGATTCTTCTCCTTGGGGCAGGTTTCTAAGCTCTTATCACCCACAGGTCTACAGTTCTGTTTTACTTATTGTGGTTGGTACATGGCTGTTTGTAGTCACTTGTGCCACTCTCTCCAGTGAGTTCCAGGTCTGGGTTCTTATGTTAGACTTCCACCTTGGTGTCTGTAGCTCCAGCCCCTGGCTCACCACTCTCCACCTCATATGATGCTGTGCTGGGGCTGCACCATTGTCTGTTCAACCTTTCTCCCACTTTCATTTCAAGCAGTTCCCAGGATTAGGGAGACACCAGGTGTCCCATATAGCTAGGTTTTTGTTGGTGCTGATGTTGCTGGAACCTGTTGACCATTAGGTCTGAAGGCCACATGTACTTTATTTTGACCTGTACGATCCCAAAGTTGGTATTTTCCCTGTGGGAATAACACAATGCACTGAACTCAGCGAGTTCTTGCCAAACTCAGCATATGAGCAGCTCATTGTTGTCCCTTCAGTCTTGATGCTTTTCCACACTGTACAAAATAGTGCCTCGTGTGCCACTACTGAAGTTCTTGATCTACTGGCCGTCATGTCTGAAGGCTATCTGGACCAACTTGAGTGGAACCAGTTGCTGGTGGAGTTCTAGCTGCTAGTGCAGTTCAGCTGGCTGCTAGCTGAATGCTGCTGTGGTATCGGTCACTGCAGCACAACACCATTGTGTCGGCTGCTTTCCCGTGTCTGCTGGTCTTCAGATGCCTCTCTGCTGTCGTTTTGTCTCTGCTGTTTCCTGGAATGTGCCCTGTTTCATATTGGCTAATGTTTCTCCCGTCTGTTTAAATGTGTCCTTACCTTATTCCACCATCTTGATTATCTCAAAGGATTTTTTAAAACTACTGCTTGTATTATGTCTAAGACATTGATTTTAATGTTAAGAAGTAGATATTATAAATCCACAATTAGTGGGTTTTACTTTAATGAAGGTGAAGAAATTCATTTCCTATTTTTATTCTATTTGTTTCTTAAAGACTAGCTATTAGCATTATTCTTTCAACAGCTACTTTAGCAAATATTTCTTCAGAAACTATGATATGTGTCTTTGATGGGTATTGTATATTTTAAAACTTTTATATTGGTAAACATAGTACTACAACAACAATGAAAAAGCTGCTCGGTAGCTTTTTTACAAGTTAAGCAAATGATCATTTAGACTTTTTCAGATATTGGGTTAGCATTATGGCACATTGGGTTGATCCACCCACTGAAATGCCAGCATGCTCCTTCAGTGTACAGGTTTGAATCCCAGCTGTTCTTTTCTGGCCCGGCTCCTTGTTAATGTGCCTGGAAAAGCAGTGGAAGATCCCTAAGTACTTGGGCCCCTGCCATTCGTGTGGCATACGACAAGGAGTTTCAGGCTTCTGGTTTCTTTGTGGACCAGCCCTGTAGCCGTTAGGGAGTACATCAGTGGTGAATGATCTCTGTATATCTCTCTCCTTCCCTCTATCACTCTGTCTTCCAAATAAATAAATGAATAAATAAATCTCTTTTTTAAAATTTTTGTGATCTATATAGCAGAGGCAGAAGCAGCTTTTTGTGTTTAATTAAATTTAGTGAGCCTGAATGATTTTTTTAAAAAAGATTTATTTATTTTTATTGGAATTGCAGATAGTTTTACTGGGAAAAGGAGAAACAGAAAGATCTTCCATCCTCTAGTTTACTGCCCAAATACCACAATAGCCAGGGTTAAGCTGATCTAAAGCCAGGAGCCAGGAGCTTCTTCCAGGTCTCCCATGTGGGTGCACGGTCCCAAGGTTTTGGGCCATCCACTGCCTTCCCAGGCCACAGACAGAGCATTGGATGGGAAGTGGAGCAGCTGGGACATGAACTGATGTCTGTAAGGGATACTGGCAGTTGCAAGGTGAGGATGCAGCCATTGAATCATTGTGGCAGGCCCCTACAGGAATGATTTTTCCTTTTTGTGTGTTTCCCTTTCTGAAAAGAGCATAATTAATCTAATCCTTCCTGTGTTATATCTTACTTCTTTTAAGGATTGAGGACTAGTTGATTTGCCAAAATTGTACCAACTATATCACATTGATAAGTTATGCAATTGCTCTCTGGATAACTATTAAGTATAAATTGAAGGTAATTATAGACAATTATAGATAATTCCTGCCATCCTACTTATAATTTTTCATGAAAATAAGTAAAACATACTTCCCTAAACATTGCCAGACACCCTTAGCAAACATAATTTATCCCTACTCTGTAATATTCCATATTGAGTTAAAGGAACTTTGGTTTAATTCACTAACATCTTTCCAAGATTAAATTATTTTTGTTCCTGTTTTACAGTGAAAACTAGATTTTCATATGCCTTTCCAAAAGAATTTCCTTATAGGATGAATCATGTAAGTGTGTTGCATAAAATACTTGTTCAGGTTACATACAAGTGTAAATTAGTTCCATTTTTGTTATAATAAACTTATAGGATCCTAGAAATAGCACTTTCAAGTGCTGTATGATTACAGACATTATTCTAAACTTAATAGCTTATACAATTTCTTTGTTTTTTAAAAAATATTTTCTAATAGTGGGTTATCATTCCTGGTACTCATTAAGTCACATTGGGAAATTCAGAATTTTGAGGCTTAGGGCCCTGGCATTGCTGGTCTGTGCAAGTTCCCAGGTGATACTGATATGCACTGGGGTTCAGAACTGCTCTGATGAAATAGTATAAAAACTATATTTTACAAATTACATTATAAGATGACTTCTGGTTATTTAAAATAAGTATGTGCTTTATCATTCACCTTATGTTATATATTTTTTTTTAGTAGAGGAATTGAAGTTTGGATTCATATCAAAGAAACTGTATTTGAAAAATCTGAACTTTTACAGGATATTTTAAGTAAAAATGAATAGAGTTTTTAAAAGGGGCTGGTTTTCTTATAAGGATTGAAATGTTTCAATCATAATTGCAAATATTATGTAATAAAAAGTAATATATGGTGATTGTAATAAGGTACTGGGTTTATTTTCTTGAGTTAAAGGAATAGGGAAAGTGTATGCTGAGTTACTGTAATGTCTAAATTGTTACCTTAGGCTAATAAGCAGGCCGATTTTATTAGGCTTCACATTGACACTTGATTTTTTTTTTTAACAGATATTAGAATGTGAATTCTATCTTTTAGAACTAATGGTAAGTGTATTTCTGATGATTTATATAATAAAGCCTCTTTTCAAATTTTATGAAATTAAAAGTTACTTAATAAAATGATTAATACAGAGGTGCATTTTAAAATCATCCACGTGATATGTGAGAGTGAAGTCATGGTAACCTGGCAGCATTATCACCTATACCCTTCCATCAGCTTGTAAAATAATTAGTATATCCTGCTTAGGATGGAAAACAATTCATTTCTATAGTTGTAACCATAGTGAATGGATTACAACCCATCAAGCTATTAAACCATTGTAATTTATGTGCATGGTATTATTTTAAGGTAGAATGTCTACCTTTATTCGGCCAGTTCTGCGAATGTCTTTGGCAGAATTCCCCAGGTGAAAATTATAAATTTATAGGCTAATTGGAGGTTCCAGTGTGTTGCAGATATGACATATGAGTCCCTAAAGCAATGAATGGATTCTCTGCTAACCAACTGCCGGTTGGAGCACAGCCTTCACTGTTATAGTCAAGCTCAATGCTGCCATCCTGCTTGCTTAAGAGACTAAAAGAGAGGCAAGCATGAGTCAGAGAAATGTATTTTGAAATATATGGTTGCACATCAGCAAGGTCATGGTAATGTTTTGTGTTGTATTAAGTCTCTTTATATAAATATGTTTTTTCAACTGTTTCTAGGATTGTTGCCTGATAGTGTATCATCCTTATAGACCTTTGCTCCAGTATGTTCAGGACATGGGCCAAGAAGACATGTTGCTTCCTCTTGCATGGTAATTAGAACAGAAGTTATTAATAGTGTAGTATGTTTTTTGGAAAGAAACATTCAGTATGTTTAAAGTCATTAAACTGTATGTTCAGCAAAATATTTGCTTTTGAATTTTAGCAACTGTAATGGTATAAATACTAATATAAGCATCTTAAGTTTCTGTTTGATAAATATAGTAAGTAAAACTTGATTTTGTGTGACAGACTGAGAATTCTTGCAAGTAATCAACATACATGTAAATTCATCGTATAATTCGTAGCTTTTTATGATTTTTTTAATCAGAAAAATGTACATATGATTTCTTGGTAGATTTTGACATTTTAGATATATATTTTTTCTTATGTGTATATTTGTATTTATATACATATGTTTGTATCTATTTATATATATATTTGTATTTTATTTTTAATTTTGTAGTATAATTCCAGAGACTCTTACGTTACATTTATGTGGATGTTTCACCTTTATAACATCCGTAAAGAAAAGGGAAATAATTGTAAAATGATGGGAAAGCTGGCTTTCTCTGGGAAAAATGTACAGTTGGATGAAGTAGTTCTGCTTTCAGTAATGATATAACTTACATTTCTGTAGGAGGATAGTGAATGATACCTACAGAACGGATCTGTGTCTACTGTATCCTCCTTTCATGATAGCTTTAGGTATGTAAGTGTGATATACTTTCATTAGTTAATTATTGTAAACCTATTTAGGTCATCCTAAAATAAATTTCACTCTATTGTACTTTATGTTTTTATGTTCCATGAAGTAATAGACTAATCCTTGCATGTGAACTTTCAATATTATGAGCTGCAACTGTCACAAATCAGGATTATTGTTTCCCCACCCCCCTTTTTTGGTAAGTTTTTTTTTCCAAAATCATTTGAAATAATTTTAGTTGATATCTAAATAGATCATTTTTGTTTGTTTAGGGGGAAATTACACAATTTAGTTTTAACATATGTACAATAACAACAGCCTATCATTCATTTCCTGAGCCTAAGTAAATATGCACAGCTTGAGTAAAAGTGTATAATTTAGTTCCTGATACTTCCTAGAAGAAGTTAGTTACAATTCTACTATATGTGCAAGGTAGTACAGTGGTGGATTAAAAAAAGTTTTTATAGTAGAAAGTAAAGATTTCTTCCTTTATGAATGTGGGGAAATTATCTAAGTTTCCTAAATATTTTCCCTTAACTGTAAAGATCCTAACAATTCTTAGGGAGTCATTTCAAGAATTGCATAAGAGTTTGTAGAGTATCACATAGTCCTTGCTGTATCCTGGGCACTTATGTCTGTTCCCTTTTCCTTCTTTTGTTGACTTCCATAATTCTGTCTTCCAGTTTTCCCCCATATTCTTTTATTAGCCCAGACTTATTTTTCTTAATTTCTCTTTTTCTCAATTATTCATCTACGATAGCAAATAGATCATACCTACACTTTTCTAGTACTGGGGGGTCCCTGAGAGCACTGGCTGTGGAAGGATTCTGAAGTGTCATCTTGGCTCAGTGAGAAGGAATGCTGGGATCTGGATGAGTAGGAGGAGGACATGGCACAATAGGGCATGTGCCGTGTCTTGGCAACTTCAGTTGTTTATGTACACCCTGAGTGGTGTCACTGAGACATGAGACTTCTCTTGCTTCTGAGTTATTATTGTTTGTATTTTTTTAGTTGTCAAAATCTTGTTCTAGATCAGTTCTTTATATTGGTCTCTCTTTTTTTAAGATTTATTTTTATTGCAAAGTCAGATATAAAGAGAGAAGAGGAGAGACAAAGAGGAAGATCTTCCTTCTGATGACCTACTCCCCAAGTGACCGCAGTGGCCAGAGATGGGCCAATCCAAAGCCATGAGCCTGTAGCTCTTCTGGGTCTCCCATGCAGGAGCAGGGTCCCAAGGCTTTGGGCTGTTCTTGAGTGCTTCCTAGCCATGAGCAGGGAGTTGGATGGGAAGCGGGGCTGCCAGGATTAGAACCAATGCCCATACAGGATTCCAGTGCATTCAAGGCGAGGACATTAGGTGCTAGGTCACTGTGCTGGGCCCTCGTTCTTTTTTATTTGAAAGGCAGAGTTAGAGTGGAGAGCTTTTATCCCCTGGTTCACTACCAGATGCTTGCACTGGCTGGGAATTCAATCCAGGTCTCCCATGTGGATGGTTGGAACCCAGTGACTCAAGCTGTCACTACTGTCTCCCAGGGTCTGCATTAGCATGAACCTGGAGTCAGGAGCTAGAGTTGGATACTGAAACCAGCTCTGCTCACATGGGTTGTAGATATATAACTTTAAAAAATAATATTGGAATTTATACCTGAAATTTGAAAGTAAACAAGCTTAGGTTTTGTTTCTAAGACCACAAATTCCATATTTTCAGTTAACCATTGGCAATGGTCATTTTCTTTCCAGCTTGCCTCCATGTAGCCTGTGTTGTGCAGCAAAAAGATGCCAGACAGTGGTTTGCTGAACTCTCTGTGGATATGGAAAAGGTAATATGTAATTCTGTGTTTTAGCTTTCAGTTCAGTGGAATGATAAAGATTTTGTTAATTGGTTGCTAAGTAGTCTCTAACTTCTAGGATTGTACTAAGAGCCACCTAGGGAGCACTGAATACCATTGTAAGTGCTTCTGTGGCACATTCTGTTTCCTGGCTATGTGACTTTTGTCCTGTGATACAACTTCTCTACTCAGATGTTGGAAACATCAGAATTAATCCATTAGGTCTACTCTGGTAAAGAAGAACAAATTCATTTGGAAATAGGATATGTTGGATTTGTAGCTTCCAGTTTTTGAGCATCGTAAGTTAAGATATAAAGTAGTTAACAGAATCAGTACAGTTCTTGTATACACCACCTCACATGACATTGTTTGCGAAAATTGTGATAAAAGGAATATGGTGTTTAGTGCCATATTCCTTCATGATTAAAACATTCGTTCTTAGTACTTTATTGTTTTTCTTTTTCCATTTAAGATGTTTAAAAAAATTCAACAGAAGGAAATGAACTATAGAAATAGATAAAGTAGACAAAATACTTCAAATAATTCATAGAAAAATGGAAGTAGGGAATGGGCACTTAGCCCCACAGTTAAGATGCTGGGTCCCTCATTTGGAATGCTCATTTTGAATTCACTTCTGGGTTCTGGCTCCTAACTCTAGCTTCCTGTCAAGGTAGACCCTAGGATACAACAGTAGCAGCATCCACATGGAATCCACAGGGAAGGCCAGGATTGAGTTTCTGGCTCCCTACTTACAGCCTGGCCCAGCCCCAGCCTTTGCAGGCAGTTGAGGAGTATACCATCAGAGAGGAACTGACCCTGTCAGTTTTTGTATTTTTGTCCCTGTCAGTGTATGTATTTTTTTTAAGAGATGGAGTTTAAAGGTAAGGTTCTTTAGGTACAGAGGAAATTTTGGATTAAAGATAAACATGGCCCTTTTTACATTTCTTAAGGATGTTTAGAATGGAATGTCTATTCTTTATATATGAAATGTTTGCTTTTACCACTGAGAAATTTAATTTTTTTTTTTTAGATTTTGGAAATTATCAGGGTTATTTTAAAACTATATGAACAGTGGAAGAATTTTGATGAAAGGAAAGAGATGGCAACAATTCTTAGTAAGATGCCAAAACCGAAACCACCTCCAAACAGGTACTTCCTTTGTTAACTATAATTTCAATTAATTACATACATATCATACTCAGATTTTTCTTTGATTATATTGCTTTGTTTTAAAATTCCTATAAAAATATCATCCATGCTAATGTTTTAATTTGTGACTTGATAGATTGAAAATGTCTCAAAAAATACGTTAAGCTGATCATCTATTTAGCAACTTTATTTAACAAAATGGAGGTCTATTACAGGTATCTCTCAACATATGGCCACATACTATACTTAAATTTAAATGGAACAGAATTAGGAAAATTCATCTAAAATTCATGAACGAAGAGTTCTGTAGTAGTATCATATTAATTTCATCCTGTGCCATTTCCTGAACCCCCATCCCCAACTGCTCGCTGTTACCATGTTTTATTAAATCACAGAGGCAAGTTTCAAGAATCTTACTAATCTGTTTTTGCAAAGATAAGAAATTTGTCTTTTGAGTAACATGAAGATTCATAGTCACTTAACATGATTTCTATAAAGTAAATCACCTGTGTTAGGAGTTTTTGCTGTCATTGTTGCTTTAACTAGGATTTGTTAACTTCACTGGTTTTCCTACTTCACATGTATCAGATCATTTGAGGTAGGAAAAACAGGTCAGGTGGAAAATAAGGAAAGGCTACCCATCTTAATAATTTTTCTGAAAAAATAACTGTAAATGAGATCATTTTTAAAAGTTCATGGAAAATACACATTAAAAATTATATATGGATTTCAAAATTTTCTGCACCCTAATAAACTGATGTTAACTTGTTGTGACATGTTTGAACGAGATCTCGTTTGAGATACTAAGAAAGATAAAACATCAATTTGAAAAGAGCCCATGTTCGAACAACATGAATTCTAAAATTAAAGCAAAAACAAAAATCAAATTGCTAGTGGAACTTGTGGCACCCTGTCCCCAAAGAAATCAGCAGGGTGCCTTTTAAGAAGGGATGAGACAGTGTTGAAGATGAAGCCTACAATGGCAGTCCATTTGTATCAATTTATAAAGAAAAATAATCTCATTTGTGCCCTAATAGTAAAGGAATAATAATTAACAGCAGAAATAGCCAACACACCAGACATCTCAGTTGATGTAGCTTGTTACACAATTCTGCAAAATTAGTGTTGAGCAAATTTTGTGTTCATTGGGGTGCCAAAGCTGTTGTACCTGCATCAGCTATAGACAAAAGCAAGACTTTAAATGGGAATTTTTAAAAATGGGATCAATATCCTGAGACATTTCTTTGAAGAACTGGAATAGGAGGTTAAAACGTATGTCTTTGATATAACTCTTGATGACAAAAACAATCACAGCAATGACTCCCAAGAGGTAGATGAAGTGCTTCAGTCAGAGCAGAGCTGACCCAGTCAAGGCTTTTTGACTATCTAGAGGGTCAAAGAATGATAACATCTGCTTATTATGAATTTTTAAAAATGGTATACAAAGCTTTAGCAGAAAAACAGTGCACCCACGAGTCTTTCCATTATACCAATGTTCCTGCTCATCACTCTCATCAAACAGGCCATTTGGTGAGAATTCTAGTGGAGAAATCTTAGGCATCTACCTTATAGTGATTAGGCTCCTACCAATTTTTTATTTCCTAGTCTTAACTCTTGAAAGACACCCATTCTTCAGAAAGTAATGTTAACAAACAAAAAGGCTGCACTGGCATGAATCTCAGAATCCTCAATTTGAAAATGGATTAGATTTCTGGTATTACTGATTATAAATGTGTCATTAACTTGATGGGAAATATGATTTACTTTTTTTTATGTTAGGAAAACAGGTTTATGTGTTTTTTTAATCATCTTTGGATTCCATTTTTCATGAACTTTTGGGAGTCCCCTCATAATGTTAAGATAGTTTTGTAAATTGGTGCTGATTAGTTACTGCTACAGTTTGAAAGAAAAAAAAAAGAAAAGAAACTAGAACTTATACAAGGAGCTGTTTAAGCAGTCATTCAAACAGCTACCTTTGGATGCATTTTTTACAGAAATTCCCTGAGTGATTCTCCACTAGTGGCAGGGCCTGAAGCTGCAAGATGATGGTGGACAAGATAAGGCAATAATCCTGTTGCCACAGTTCCTGGTATTTTCAGTTTTAGTTATATTTATTTTAAACATTCAGAAATTTCTAGGAAAATAACATATTTCTGATTTATAAAGGTTTGATTTATTTACATATGACATCATTATGCCTTTGGACAATGAGGTTTTTTCTTTTGTGTTTGTGTGTTTGTGTGTGTGTGTGAAAAATACTACTTGATTTTCTTTAATAGTAGGAATAGGATTTTATTTGTAAGAATTAGTGAGAAACTTGTTCAGAAGAAGCTGTATCTCTATGTTGAGTGATACCTGTAATAACAATGAAACCCCATACCCTAATTTAAATTTTTGACTGTATGTGGACACTAACTTCCAGAATGCTTGGTATGTGTAAGGACACAAACTTGTATAAGAATAAAAACATAAAATCAAGTGTTACTTTTCTGGATTTTAATTTTTTCATATCTGTGTCCAACCAGAAATATATAGATGTGCCATAGAACAGTGAACTTTTAAAAAACTTAGTGGGCTTATTACTAAATGAATCTTAATTGGTATAAAATCTCTTTCTTCCCTATTTGAACAGTGAAGGAGAGCAGGGTCCAAATGGAAGTCAGAACTCTAGCTACAGCCAATCTTAAAACATTCCGAAGAATTCGGTAGTGGACCACATGGAAATAAACATTGGACAGATATCCGTAATGTCTTCAATGGAACACAAAGGAAAAGGAATAGCTTGTTTCTGCCAAGCATATTGGGAAGTAATTTTATTTTTGCAAAATAATTTTTCCTTACTTAATTATAACTGATTAAAATCTCCTGGTTATAAAAGTTTGGGAAGGTTCTAAGAGAACCTGTAGAAATTTCAAAACTAATAACTTTTGTTTAATATTTCTTAATTTGGATAATGGAAAAAATTTAAGCTAGGAAACATAAAACTTAAGTTTCCAAATTTATCTTTGTTCATTGAGGGACCAAAAAAGGATACAGAAAGTGAGGGATTTTTTTCCCTTCAAAAGTTGTTTTTAAACTATACTTAAGAAATCAGGTCTCACAAAATCCTTGGAGATTTTGGTGGTAATGGTTATAACTTCAGGGAAATAATCAAGTACCTATTGATTTTAAAAGTGTATGTTACTCAGTAGTTTTGGTACCTTGACATGGATGCTAGTAGCCCAGCCTCGTACAAAAAAGTGCAATATGGGGAGTATTGAAGTTTATGGAAAATGTACAAGGTAAAAAAAAAACACACACATTATTTAAAAAATCTTGCACCAAAATAAACTTTTAATTCAATTTTTTCATGAACTTTTAAAGTCTCCCTGTATGCATATTATATTTTGGCAACTTAAATTAATTCTGTAACCATTTGAAATGCTGGGCAAACTTTTGGAAGAATCCTAGATGAAGATACTTGCAGTTTATTGAGCTAATCTGGCATTTTGAAAGGTTAAAATTTGGTAAAAGTTTAATATTTTTTATTCTGCTGTGAAAAGTGGTTTTTTTTGGTTTTTTTTGTTTTTTGTTTTTTTTTAATAAAATATACACACCCTAGTTGAATTTTGTCTTAGTATGGATTTACAAACTTAACTATGGGAATCCTGAGCCAGGAACACAATCAGGTTTTAGGCCAGTTTGATCAGTTTGATACTGGCTTTTCTTATTTTTCATGTGAATATACACTTTCAGACTACATGTTATGTCGACGGGACTGTGCTGTCTATGGAACTTAATAAATTAATCATTTTATTCAGGCTTGAAAGGGAGTACTAACTAAAATTTGGAGTCATAGGATATTGATGTACAATTTATGGATTAAAGTTTTTATAAATTGTGAACAATGAATTTATTAAATTAAATGTTGGCTTCCAAGTATAAACTGCAAGAATAAAATTAAGTTCTCCAGGTACACTGAGTATTGTCTTGAATTTGTATTTTTAAATTTGCCTTAGATATTTTTCTGAAAAATCTATCTTCCTTTAGATAGTATCAAATTAAAGCCCTGTAATCACTCATTAAGGGTTGTAATTTCAAATGGTTTATGAACAGTTTTAAATTGAGTCCTGTTTCTTTTAGAGACAACAAATGAGCTGGAAAGGAAGACTGAATAAAATCAGTGCCAATGATAAATATGGGCCTCCTAGGCTTATGGTAGGGTAAGAAAAAAGAGAAGAACTGCTCACAGGTCAAAAAAATTAATGTGATTGAGTTGGGTTGGCAGACTACATTGTATAACACAATCATTAATGATAATTTTATTCTTTAAGCTTACCTATATATTTAAAATTTTACTCCTAAGATTAATGCATATACCTCGTAGTTTTGTTTTCTTCTTATTGAGGAAACTTTCAAATAGTATGGAAAGTAGCTAAAAAAATGTAATGAACCTCTGTGAACCCATCATCCAGGTTCAACAAGTTAGTTAACAGCCAATTTAATTTCATCTAAATTCTTATCCTCTCCTTTCCCCAACTTCATATTACTTTGAAGAAAATCTCAGATATTGCTATTATTTTATCCATAAATATTTCAGTTATGTGCTCCAAAAAGATGATTCTTTAAAACAAAAGAACTATTAAAGTGTTCATCTTACCTAAAAGCAATTAGTAAAATATTTTTAGTGTCAAGTATTCAATGTTCAAATATTTGATGTTCAACTTACTACTTACTGCATTGAGCATTAAAAATGATTAAGTACTTCTAGTTTAGAAGTCTTAAAATTCATAGATTCCTCTATGATTTTTTAAAATTAATTTTATTGCTTTATGTGACACAATGTTAAAGGCACTGGGATTCCCCCCACCCCTCCCTGAACCCTCTCCCCATGGTGGATTTCTCCACCTTGCTGCCTTACCACAGTTCAGATTCAGTTGAGGTTCTTTCTCCTCTATGATTCTTAAAAACTCCCTTTTTAGTTTCCTTGTGTACTAAAAAATTTTTCACCATCCTGATTGCATCCTTAACATATATTTAGCACGCATCTTTAATTTCTGTAAAAGTAAAGAAGTCTAAAGGCTTGGTCAGATTCAGGAATTTTTTTATGGTTTTTTGCTTGTTTTTATAGACTACTGTAGAAGGTGGTAGCTTCCAGTTGGAGGCATATCTCTGTGGCCAGTTGTCTTCCTGGGATTTATCAGCCATTGATGAAACATTGATTTTAAAATCAAATACTACCATTGGCCATACTATGCAGTATCATAACCACTAGCCACCTGTGACCATTTTGAATACTGAAAATGTGGCTAGTATGAATTGAGATATGCTGTAATCATAAAAATATGTGTTGGATTTTAAGTACTTAGTACAAATCAAAAGAATGTAAAATTAATTTGCTTATTATGATTACTTGTTTTAAATGAAAATATTTTGTATACATAGGACTAAATAAAACATTATTAAAATTTATATCACCTGTTCCTTTTTAATTATTTTAAATGTAAGAAAATTTAAAATCGCACAGTGTCTTGTAGGATCCTGTCCCATTCTCCTTCCCCAGAAGCAGTTACTTTGAACTTTAGTCATTTCTCATGGTTCCATGTTTTGCTATTTGCATACTTTTGTTTTTTAAATATTCATTTTATTTTTATTGCGAAGTCAGATATACAGAGAGGAGGAGAGACAGAGAGGAAGATCTTCCATCAGATGATTCACTCCCCAAGTGAGCGCAACAGCCTATGCTATGCCGATCCGAAGCCAGGAGGAGCCAGGAACTTTTTCCAGGTCTCCCACATGGGTGCAGGGTCCCAAAGCTTTGGGCCGTCCTCGACTGCTTTCCCCGGGCCACAGGCAGGGAGCTGGAAGGGAAGCGGGGCTGCCGGGATTCGAACTGGCGCCCATATGGGATCCCGGGCATGCAAAGCGAGGACCTTAACCACTGTGCCACCGCGCCGGGCCCTACTAACTTCCTTCTATGGAAGATAGATTTTGCTTTCTCACATACCTGTTCTCTATCCCAAGCCTGATTCTGTTCTAGGATTTCAGGGTGTGTCCATTAGGTGCTGTTGCCATTTCTCACAGGATCTTTCTTCTGTGCTATTATTAATAGTAACAGAGTATCTGTAGCTGTTAATAATATAATTTGGAAGCTGGTATTGTGGCATAGTAAATTAAGCTGCCATTATCCCCTATGGCTGCTCCACTCTAGCTTCCTGTTAATGTGCCTGACAAAGCAGCAGAAGATGGCCTAAGAACTGCAGCCCTGCAGTCATGTAAGAGACCTGGATGAAACATTTGACTACTGGCTTCTGTCTGGTCCAACCCTGGCCATTCACTCTGGAGAGTTAACCAGTAGGTAGAATCTGCCTTTGTCATAGCTCGAAAGCTTTAGACGTATCTTTGTATTTTCAAAATGATTTTCTCCCATATTGAAAACAGCCTCTTGTGAAATAATGTATTAAATCATATGCTATATTTTTGTATTTTGAGACTTTGGATTTTAATAAAGAAGGAGGGAGAGAGTGAAGGTCTTCCATTAGCTGATTCACTTCCCAAATGTCCTCAATGACCACAGCTGAGCTGATCTGAAGCCAGGAGCCAGGAACCTCCACTATGTCCCCCCCTTTTGGCTGCAGTTTCGCAAGGACTTGGACCATCCTCCACTGCTGGAGGCCATAAGCAGAGAACTAGACTGGAAATGGAGCAGTTGGGACATAAACTGGCGCCTGTATGGGATGTTGGCAGCCCAGGGTTGAGGATTACCCTATATTGAGCCATGGCACAAGCCCCAATAACCTTACTTTTTAATTTTTTCCCACAAACGTTAAAGTAACCTCCTATTGATCAATATAGCATCTTATGTCAAAACATGGTATATTTGTCACCCTAGAAAGTTTTCCTTCTTTTTCCAATTAATCTATCATCAACAGAAACAACCACTATTCTGATTTCTATTCTCATGTTAATTTTTTGGGCGGGGGACCCATGTTCATTTTTAAATCGCAAGTTATATCACTATCTTGTTGGGCACAAAAGTGCCACAAGTTTTTGGATGTTAGTATATTTTGTTGTTTATATATCCTAGATTCTTGAGTTTTGTGATCAAGATTATTAATCTGTTCTAGCCTCTTTGGTGATTAGAAATAGTCACACACGAATGATCTGGCCTTTTGGAATACTGTTGAATTAAACAACTTAAAAATCAATTTTTAGAACCCAATTCTTTTTTTTTCTTCCAATTTATTACGTTGCATTATGTGATACAGCTTTTTAGGTACTGGAATTCCCCTCTCTCTTCCCCCAATCCTCCCCCCATGGTGGATTCCTCCACCTTGTTGCATTACCACAGTTCAAGTTCAGTTGAGATTCCTTCCCTGTGAGCCTATACCTAGCATAGAGTCCAGCATCTCATCGTCCAGGTAAGTTTAACAGCTTCTTGGGGAGACCCTCTCTGGTCCAAGGTTAGAGCCAACAAAATAAAATCCCGGTCAGTTACAAGCCCAAACATAACAGCAACAATATACAATTTTGTGGAACTGACATAGTATCGAGTAAGCAAGTTCTTAACCACATCCTGTGACTACTTCGATGACATTTCAACAACTGAGGTGCGAGACAGTTTAGGAGGGGTATGCAGCGGAATTCTCAATACCTTGCTGAGGAGTACTTAATCTTCACGTCCTCCCTAGTGAAGTGTGTATGAGTTTATGCTCATCAGGCTTTCCTTTTTGTTCTCTGCCTATCTATTCTAACTTGTGTGTGTTTGCAAGGGGGCTCTGGAGCAACCCCAATGGTCACTGCAGAGAGGGTGAGGACCCAAAGCTGGAACCAAGCAAGGGCCAGAGAAAGCTCCTCTCCCCAATTCCTAAGGAGGTTTACTGTTCTTCTGGTTCTGAGGACCACTCGGGGTTCCTGTCTGTTGTTCTGATGGCCCTGGTCCCATGATGAAGGGCTCGGGCTTCTTCCATCCGGTATGGTAGGTGGGGGGTGGGGATGGCGGGGAATGTCCTCTGAGTTCTCTGCCTCTGAAGGCATTCCATAGAACCCAATTCTTATGTTTGAGCAAGTTAAATACATATTTCTCATTCATTAATGGCCTTTGAAAGTAAATAGGTAGTTGATTTAAGTAAGTGAGTAGTTGATTTGCACAAAAGCTCCTCACCGTTAACCATTGTTGTCAGGACAGGATGTTTATTTTGCTCACTCCAGTATACTTTGTTTCATGCACTCAGTCAATTTGTTTCAAAATTCAGTTTCCTTCTTTCTTCTCTGTAAGTTCGCAGGATACCCATTCCTTCCACCCTCCAGCATAGTGTTGAGCACTGAAAATAACCAAGTAGTTCTTTACACATTTTCTCCTGGCTTATGTATAAATAACAGATGGTTGATAGAAACTTTAATTTTTTTACTTATTTTACTTGAAAGGCAGAGAGACATAGCTGGAGCCTGGAACTGTATCCAGGGTCTCACACCTGGGTGGCAGGAATCAATTTGAATCATCATCTGCTGCCTCCCAGGGTACACACTAGCAAGAAGTTGGATCAGACACACACAAAAAAAATGTGGTTAACAATGGTCTTACCCACTTTGCTGAAATCCTTGACCCTTTGTGCCCTAATCAACTATGTAAAGATTATCAAAATAATAAAAAGAAAAAAAAAAGTTGGGTGGGAAGTAGAGGAGCCATGATTGGACCAGTGGCTCTGACATCAGATGCAGGTGTCCCAAATGGCCATCCAACCCTGTACCAAATACCCTCCTTGATGATAGGAACTTTAGTGATAATGCAGTGGTCCTTCACCATGCTACTTACTATAAGCCCATTAACTGCATTGTTGGGGCCGGCCGGCACTATGGCATAGTGTGTGTGTACTTGCAATGACGGCATCCCGTGGAGCACCACTTTGAAACCCAGCTGCTCCACTTCCTATCTAGCTCCCTGTTAATGGTCTTGGAAAAGCAGCAAAAGATGGCCCCACTGCTTGGACCTCTGCCATGCATGTTGGAGACCCAGAAGCAGCTACTGTCTCCTGGCTTGGGCCTGGCCTGGCCTATCCCCAGCTGTTGTGGGCATTTAGGGAGTGAATAGTGGATGAAAGCTTGTTTATCTCTAACTCCTATTCTCAAGTAAATTTGAAAAAGGCTTGTGTTGTTTCTGAATAAGATGAGATGATAGAGTCTGTTAGTCTTGCTGTCTTGCATTATAACTGTGACTAATAAGAAATTCTTGATGGGCTCAGCGTGATAGTGTAATGGTTAAGGTCCTCACCTTGAGCGCGCTGGGATCCCATATGGGCACCTGTTCTAATCCCTGCAGCTCCACTTCCCATCCAGCTCCCTGCTTGTGGCCTGGGAAAGCAGTTGAGGACCTTGGGTTCCTCTACCCATGTGGGAGACCTGGAGGAAGTTCCTGGCTCCTGGCTCTGGATTGGCACAGCGCCAGCCATTGAGGCCACTTGGGGAGTGAAACATTGGACGAAAGATCTTCTCTGTCTCTCCTCCTCTCTGTACATCTGCCTTTCCAATAAAATAAATAAATCTTTTTAAAAAAACCTTGAATAGCCTAATATCTACTTGAATATATGAAACATTTTAAAATACCCATTTTTGAATCCATTTTTCCCTTCTACACACCTGTTAAATCCCAGAGATATTGCTGTATCCAGAGCCTTCTTGCTTCTAAGTCCAGCTAAACAAGAAAACACTAGATTGTCAGATTTGGATGGCTTTACTTTTTTGTATTTCTCTTTGAAGTCTTTTGGGTTCATCTGAAGAGCTTCACCTACCTCATCCACTGAAAGAAAATATTAAGAATTTCAATAAATTTTAGATCCAACAAATTACTGAAAATAAATGTGTTTTGTAATCAGCTTAAGACGCATGTCACTTACATGGTATATTGACAGACCCAGGGATTTTTCCATACTCAAGGATTTCCCATGGCTCTCTAACATCAATTAACATAATGTTTTTGGAATTAAGCAAGTTTTTCAATTCTTTATAAGTGAGGTATTTGGAAGCAGCAGTACAAAAATTGTGGCAACTTCCCCTTGTTGATTTCAAACCTGAAAGAAATAAGGCAATTTAGGTAACCTGAACATAGTAACATTGCCATAGTTGGAAAGAGTAAATTTAAACAAAATTTCCTGGTTCCATTCAGCAAGCTTTATTTGTTCTTTTTTGTTTCTTTAAAAACCTGAATTCTGTGACATAGTAAGTACTTGTCTTTGTTCCCAGTACCTGACACAGAGTTCCTAAATGCCTTAGGATTTCTGGGGTGGTAGACTATTATAATGGAGAGTTACGTAAGTAGGCTCCTGGATAACTTGAGATTGGAGTTGGTCTCCAAAAAGACCAGGCCATGATTGGATATGGGAATGTTTGGCTCTAACCCTCATCCTGCAGGGAGTGTTAAAGGGATGGAGATTGAGTTCATCATTGATGCTGAGGTAAGCATCATGGCATAGCAGGGTGAGCTTTTGCTTGGAACATCCAAACCCCAAATCAGTGCCAGTTTGAGTACCGCTTCCCACTACTGAGGCTGCTTCCTGCCACCTGCCTGAGACCCCTAGTTCCTGGCTCCTGTCTGGCTTGGCCTAGAGCTGGGTGTTGTAATCATTTGGGGAATAAACCAGCTGATGGAGGATCTGTTGGCCTCTCTTGATAACCACCTTTTAGATAGGTAGCTAGCTAGCTAGATATGAATAGACCTTAAAGATCTAGTTATAGCCCTCACCATCGTGATCATTTGGGGAATGAAGTCACTCTAGCTGTCAAATCTTTAAAAAAAAAAAAAAAAGAAAAAGAAAAATTAGGCAAAAGGAAACAGTCCTGTAATAATTGTTACAAGTACGGGCCCAGCAGTGTGGCCTAGCGGCTAAAGTCCTTGCCTTGAATGCCCCGGGATCCCATATGGGCGCCGGTTCTAATTCTGGCAGCTCCACTTCCCATCCAGCTCCCTGCCTGTGGCCTGGGAAAGCAGTCGAGGCTGGCCCAAAGCCTTGGGTCTCTGCACCCATGTGGGAGACCTGGAAGAAGTTCCTGGATCCTGGCTTCAGATCGGCATAGCATTGGCTGTTGCGGTCACTTGGGGAGTGAATCATCGGACAGAAGATCTTCCTTTCTGTCTCTCCTCTCTGTATATCTGACTTTCCAACAAAATAAATAAATCTTATTAAAAAAATAATAATTGTTACAAGTAAAAATCACTTGTTGGTATTAGATTTTTGTTTTTTTTTTTAAAGGGGCAGGGACCGACTTATTTCAGAAGCAGAGAGAACAAGCCAAATGCCTGCACTGACCCCTCACTGGGGCTGAAGCTGGGAGTTGGAATCTCACTCTAGCTCTCTCACGTGAGAGACAGGTAGGAAGGAAATCATTACAGCTCCTTCCTACAGGCTACAGTCTGAGATGGCCTGTTCCCAGTCTTGATGCTTAGCCGCAGCCTAACTCAGCCCAGCCCACCACCAGTCCAGCTCTCACAAGCAGGTGTAGCAGCCTCACTCAGCCTGGCCCACTCCCAGCACCAGCTATTACTATTATTTTTAAAAGATTTTGTTTTTAATTGGAAAGACAGATTTAAAGAGAAGGAGAGACAGAAAAAAAGGTCTACCTGCTGGTTCACTTGCCAAATAGCCACAATAGCCAGAACTCAGCCAAACCAAAGCCAGGAGCCACTTCAGGTCTCTCATGTTTAGATACAGGGTCCTAAGGATTTAGCCCATTCTCTGCTACTTTTCCAGGCCACAGAAGGGAGCTGGATGGGAAGTGGAATAGCTAGAACACGAATTGGCACCCACATGGGTTACTAGTGCTTGCAGGTAGAAGATTAGCCAATTAAACCATTGCTCCAACTCCCAGATTGGTTTTATAAAGCAGCATCTTTTCACTTCAGGGAGGTGACACAGCATATGTGAGGACTGGGTCTGGGGGCGTGTCAGGCTGAGCTAAGCCACAGCACAGGTGGGTGTGCATGAAAGCCGGATGGGACATGGCTAGCTGCAGCAGGGGCTAGCACAACCCTGGACTAGAGGTGTGCCTGGTGGGGTTGCCTTGACTAGGCAAAATCTTCATATGTGTGAGAACCAGGTCTGTGACATGCTGTGGCCGGGTCTCTTCAGTTGCTGATGCCTGTGCAGTGAGCAGAATGTCCAGATGCACACAAAGAACATGATGGCCAGCTCGTACAGGCCAGCAACTAAGTCTTCAAAGGATGGAAGGCAGAACTGATTGGACCACTCTCCTGGCTAAACATTAAGTGGGCTTTGTCAACCAATACACCTTGGAAAGACTTTCTCAGCCCTGGAACAGTGAAGCTGACCTGACAATGTTTCAAAACTATCAAGACCACTCTAGTAACACCCTCAGAACATTCTTCCCCCATATTGTGGTCTTTAAGGAGTCATTATATGACCATGCCGATTCCTGAATGCTATGTAATTTGACAGTAGGGAGCAGTCCCTGCCCCACCCTCCCCTGCAGACAAGGGAGAAAAAAAATCAAATATTTGTCCTAGTCACCTTCTTCCATAGTGCTCTCCACCCTAATCAGAGGCCCACCTGGCCATGTATCCCTCTCAACTATGTAAACAATATTGAAAAGAAAAACAAGTTAAATAAAATAATAGGTATAGATTTACTTTTTCTTTTAAAAAAGAAAAGCAATGTGCACCATCTTATCATATCAAAAGCTGTGTTGTTAGGTAAGCCTGGGGCCATACAGTGGGTTTAAGCATAGGATCAGTGACAAAAATAAAATGATGAATTATTGCTGCACTTGCTTAAAATGCAGGGAGTATTGCTGGACTGAAGGTGGTAGATGTGGATTCTCTGGTCTTTGAACATAACCAGTAAACAGTGAACCTGATGTTGAGCTATTCTTCAGAGCTCATGGTTGTATTACCCTGTACGTTGAGATATCCTTACTTTTTGAGAACTAATTGTTCCTAAACTAGAAGAGGAGGTTAGGCTCATAGTAATTTTCTTTCTTTCTTTCTTTTATTATTTTAAAAAAGATTTATTTTTATTGCAAAATCAGATATACAGGAGGAGGAGAGACAGAGAGGATGATCCTTCATCTGATGGTTCACTCCCCACGTGACCGCAACAGCCAGTGCTGCACTGACCCGAAGCCTGAGCCAGGAACTTCCTCCAGGTCTCCCTCGCGGGTGCAGGGTCCCAAGGCTTTGGGCTGTCCTCGACTGCTTTCCCAGGCCACAAGCAGGGAGCTGGATGGGACGTGGAGCTGCCGGGATTAGAACCAGTGCCCATATAGGATCCCAGGTAGTTCAAGGCAAAGACTTTAGCCACTATGTCAACCCGTCAGGCCCTCTAGTAATTTTCATTCAACTAGTTCCTTGTAACTCCCAATACTATGAAGAGCAGAGGGCTGAATTTATATTTATTTCTGGTTCTCATTGTTTAGGACCTAGAAAACCATGGTAATTTTAGCAGTTATGATAAATTCAAGGTTCTGGCATTTAGCTTTTGGGAAACTAAGTTGTTTCTTGGTAGAATCAGCAAATTAACCTTGAATTTTCTGTAATTTAGCTATATCCCTGTTGGGAAGTTGGGAGACATAAGAGACAGTCAATCAGGACTGAATTTCTTCGGTTTTGTCGCAGTGGTTAAGATACCTGCAACTGGGCCCGGCACTATGGCACAGTGGTTAAGGTCCTCACCTTATGGGCGCCGGTTCTAATCCCAGCAGCCCTACTTCCTATCCAGCTCCCTGCCTGTGGCTTGGGGAAAGCAGTCAAGGACGGCCCAAAACTTTGGGACCCTGCACCCATGTGGGCGACCCGGAAAGAGGCTCCTGGCTTCGGATTGGCTGAGCTCCAGCCATTGCAGCCGCCTAGGGAGTGAATCATCGGACAGAAGATCTTCCTCTCTGTCTCTCCTCTCTGTATATCTGCCTTTCCAATAAAAATAAAATAAATCTTTAAAAAAAAAAAAAGATACCTGCAACCCATGTCAGTGTCTGGGTTTGAGTTCTGCTCCACTTCTGATTTCAGCTTCAGGTAAGTCCAGGGAAGAGCCGGTGATGATCCAAGAACTAGGGTCCTTGCTACCCACACAAGACATAGATTGAGTTCCCAGCTCCTGTCTTCAGTGTGGAGTTGTGGGCAGTTGGGAAGTGAACCATTGGATGGAAGATGTATGTGTCTCTCTCTCTCTGTCTTTCTACCTTCCAAGTAAATAAATAAAAATGTAAAATAAAGATGGTTTAAATCTGTTTTAAATGTTGTTTCCTAATTGAAAAAAGCTGGATGAAAGCATGTGTTCCCTCAAACTTCTCATGGTCTGAGCCTCTATTGCACAGCCTGTACTTTGTAGAACATGTCCTCTACTTGTCAATCATGCTGTGATGCTCAACCAGAAAACACCTGTTCCCTCACTGAAGACAAACTGGCAACTTGATATCCACCAACTTTATGGACAGATAATGTGGGGGGTCTTGTGAGGTGTTTTCAAAATTAATACAGACTAAACTTGTACTCTGCTGTGGGATGCAGGCAGGTCATGCAGGGTCTTAATCCCCAAGGTAAGATGCCTGCTACTGATTTTCACTTTGGGAGTCTTAAACCTTCAAATAACCCCACGTTTAACTGTTTCTGCAGTGGTAAACTTATCTCTAGGATACTTAATACAGTGCAGTACAGCTTCCTTAGGAAGGGCTAGGCCCTTCAACTCTCCTTGCCAGCATGGTGTGCCAAACCTTTTCCTCTGCCTTTCCTATCCAATTACCCTACCCGTACTTCCCGGTTACATAAAAAATGTACACATTCCTTAAACACATCATTGTGGAAAGAGCAAGGATTGCAGTCAGATAAACCTGGGTTCAAATCCTGTCTTGCCTATTTGTCTCATCTGCATGGAACACACTTATTCTCTTAAAGTCTAGTTGAATGTCACTTGTCACCCTATTTTAACATTCCCCCTTCTATGTATCTATTGTAATACAGTAGTTGTACACATATGCAAATTGCATGCATGATATTTCTTGAAGAACTATTTATTAAATAGCAAAAAAAGGAAATTAAAACGTTCAGTTTGTTAAACACAAATACTTAAATTCAAATAATTAAAATAATTTGTTAGTCTGTTGTGACAGTCTTTTCACTTGGCCTTCCTACCTCCCTTGTACCAAGATCGAGACAACCCAGAAGAATCTAGCCTCAAAATACGTCACTTAATCATGTCTGAAAAGTCCTGTGGCTTCTCCCTCCGGCGAGATAAATGCAGCACGTAAGTTAAATGTGTTTTCCTAGAAAGCTTTTTGAAACATAAGGAGACAAATTACATAAGTCTGTACATATCACACTTATATGTAGTATTTAGCATATCTGTAGCGTTTTACATGTGTTTTAATTACACATGTTCAGATAAGTGTTCAGAAGAACATGTTACCAAAGTGCAGCTAGGGAGGATAGCTGGTTGGAGGGGATATATATAGAAAGAGTCTTGGGTTGTGCTTGCTTGTTGGTTTCACTGTAATGAAAATATAACCATGTGATTCTGTCATCACTCTGAACATGGAAAAGACACCTTTCTGTAATAGTTGCTCACAGTCCGGAGTCAGCTTCCATCTCCCCCAGAAACAGCTCATTAACTGATTGCTGCATCCACAGACAGCAGTTGGTGCTGCAGTAGAGGGGCTCACAGAGCGAGACTCCTGGAGGCCCCTGCGTGCTGGACTCGGCGCCACCACCTGCTACCTTCACCTCTCTGGTATCCCCATTCTCATTGGCAAGAGGGATGGTGCTAGGTGGCTGCTTCACCAAGCTAGTATCTCTGCTCAGCTGTGGGTCGCCTGGATACCAGCTAAGGGCCTCCCCAGGGCAAGGACTGACATATTACTTGCGCCTCTGGGCTGGGATTCGATGCTCAGTCTAGCACCTCCTCATTATAAATGCCCCCCTACGCCACCATCCTGGAACAAGGCTGGCCCCGCCCGCTGCATCCCCCAGAGCAAACCCTGGCCCACAAGGCGCGAATCTGGAGAAACAAGAAGTCCAGGTGGGAGCTACATAACCAGATACGACGAGAAATCAGACTGAAGTTTAACTGAAAGTCTGGACAACGGCAAGTGCCCCCTCCAAACCCCTCCTTTTCCTGGGATCCGAGATGGGGCGTTCTCCCCTTCTCCCACTACCACCAAGCTCACCGTAGAGCGCAGCCTGCACGGACTGAAGAACGGCACTGCGGGGCGCCGCAAGCAACAGCCGGGGAAACACCATCACCCCGGCGCCGGCGCGCTGCTGACCACTTCCTCCTCCAACCCAGGGAGCTTAGCTCTCAGCTCTTGAGCGCCCTCCAGGCAAGCGCCGGCAGAACCCGGTACTGCCGCAAGTCGTCAGGGACCATAACAATCTTCGGAAGAAACTGCAGGTGCGCTTGCTTTTTCTGGTTTTGAATTATTATTATTATTATTATTTTTAGGCTACACAAAGTTTAAAAGCTATGACAAAACTAATACTTAGAATCCAATTTGTAACGTTTTTACACATTGGATGAATTTAAAAGCACACTGGCTAAAATTTTTAAGAACTCTGTTAAAGCATTAAAATCAAGTTATAGATACTTTGCTAATTTATTTGAAAAGTAAAGTTACAGGTGCTAAGAGCTTCTTCTGGGTCTCTCAAGTGGGTGGAGGTGCCAGAGCACTTAGGCCATCTTCTGCTTCTCTCCCAGGTGCATTAGCAGAGAGCTGGACTGGAAGTGGAGTAGCCAGGACACCTGGGATGCCAAATTGCATCCATTTGGAATACTGGCATTGCAGACAGAGACTTTACACGTAACCCCACACTGCTGGCCCCTGTTCTTAACTTTGATAGCCAGTTCAACTCTAATACTGGTATGAACATAATCCCATAACCTCATCACACTTTCCCCAAGAACTGATGACATTTGACCATGGTTGCCCATAGTGTTGCTCAGGTTAGGTCCAGCTACTTTACACTGTGTTTTCTGACTGCCACTGTAACAGACTGACACGCACTTACTGTTCTAAAGCCACACAGTTATTACCTCCAGATCGACTGGTTCACTAGGCTCTCCAGCTGGCATCACAGTGCCAGCAAGCCTGTGCTCCTTCTGAGGGGTCTGGGAGGAATGGCCTTGCATCCCCTGGCTGTGTCCCCGGGACCTCCTGCATCCCCTGGCTCTCTTGTCTTTAAAGCTGCTTTCAGCATCTTCACATTGCCCCCTCACTCTGACTGGAGCCCTTGCTTCTGTTACGATATCTTTTTTTCCTGGCCCTCCTGTCTCACTTTTATGAAGATCTCTATATCCAAACGGAGATAAGCCCGGGAGAATCTAACCTCAAACTACTGCATTCAATTATATCTGAAAATTCCTTTTTGCTGAGTCATGTGACATGGTCCCAGATTTCAGGGGTTAGAATATACATGTGTCAGGAGAGGGGAACATGATTCAGCCTTTGGCATAAAGTTTATGGCTCTTTCATTTTCTAAAAAATATTTATTTATTTAGATTTATTTATTTTATTGGAAAGGTAGATAGATGTACAGAGAGGAGGAGAGACAGAGAGCAAGATCTTTCGTCCGATGATTCACTCCCCAAGTGACCGCAATGGCCGGTGCTGCGCCAATCCGAAGCCGGGAGTCAGGAACTTCTGGGTCTCCCATAAGGGTGCTGGGTTCCAAGGCTTTGGGCCATCTTGACTGCCCTCCCAGGCCACAAGCAGGGAGCTGGATGGGAAGTGGAGCTGCTGGGATTAGAACTGGCACCCATATGGGATCCCAGCACATTCAAGGTGAAGACCTTAACCATTACACTGTCACGCTGGGCCCTATTTATTTAATTTCTCTCTCACCCTTTTCATTCTGCCTTTCAAATAAATAAATTTTAGCATCTTCCATCTGCTGGCTCACTCCCAAATGGCCCCAATGGCCAGGACAGGGCGAGGCAGGGATCTTCTTTGGCTGCTTTCCCAGGCACGTGAGGAGGGAGCTGGATGACAAGTGGAGCAGCTGGGACTTGAACCTGTGCCCATATGACATGCTGATATTCCAGAGATAACCCATTATGTCACCACATCAACCCCTCATTCTTAATTTAGCTCAACTGCAAGTTTATTCATATTTATTTAAATAAAATTAACAGTTTTAAATGGAATTATTGATGCATAGTCATGCAGGAATAATTTCATTAATCAAAACATTTTAAATGATTTCATTTTTCAATAATTTGGTAATCAGTAAAGTACTTCAGATTTCTTTAACAACGGTATAATGCACAGTCTCTATAAATTGATGGGATAACTTTAGTAACATTATCATAATATACTTCAGTGTAGTCTTCAAAATGAATACTTTCATAAAACCACAGGTAGAAACAGTGTAACTTGGTTTGAATGAATCACATTTCATTTGCTTGATGCTTGCAAGAGCAAAAAAAAAGCATGGGTCTAGTGAGGAACCGCCCACGGCGAGTTCCTGAACGTTTAGGAAACACGGCCGGATGCCGTGACCGCCAGTTGGGTATCAGTTTGTCAGTTGGGTGTCAGGAGGAGACGGTGACGGAGGGAAGTAGGAGGCAGTCGCAGGAACGCCCCGCCACAAACGGACCCTAGGGCGAACTTGAGGAAGAACCACTCTAGTAATGACATAGGGGAACTCAGTGAGGGGGGAGGGAGTTGGGGAGGGGATAAGGGAAATGTCAGGGCCTATGGAACTGTATCATAAAATGGTAATGGTAAAAAGAAGTAAAACAAACAAAAAACCCCACAAATCCGGCAGCTCCAGGACACCAACCAGATCCAACCAGAGGAGCCCAAGGGTGTCATTCAGGCAGCCAGCGCCGTTCGGAACGCATGCGCACGCCAGCCGGCCCCGCCCCCAACGGCCTCCGCGGCCCCGCCGGCGGCCCGCCCCCCAGCAAGCCCGGCAGGCCACGCCCCGCCCGCGGTGCGGCCGCGCAGGCGCAGTTGCGGCGGTTGTAGACGCGGCGGTCGGCCGGGCGGGTGAGTGGGTTCCGCAGCTGTGGGGTCACTGCAGTTCTTCCTTCTTTGCCTGGGCGCTCCCAGTGCCCTCGATGGGTGGGCGGGGCGGAGAGAGAGGCCCTGGAGGCTCGTTCCTGGTGCCTGGGCGCTGGGCGGGCACTGAGGGCCCTGTGAGAGCGGCCCAGAGTGGTCGCTGCCCGGGCTGTGGGCGGAGAGGGGCCGATCCCCGCCTGGGGAGCCGGCCCGCACGCTGGCGTCTCTGCAGCACGCTGTGGTCGCTGCGCTCTGCCTTCTCATCCTGAGGTGTGTGGCCGTGGCAGGACGAGGCACGGGGTCTGGCAGCCTCGTGGGTTTGGAGTGCCGGGACCCGCCGGTGTGGGTCCCCATCCACCGCTCCCGGAGTCCAGCATCTCTGCAGGGCGCTTCGCACTTCGTTTCAAAAGCAAAACAGGGAAAATCATAGTAGTTCAAGAAGTGTAAGTGGGCTACACAACACGTGACACTTCGTGCCGTTCTTGTCTGAGCCTGTTACCTAAATGACTGTTTAGCAAAGCTTGATCCCAGAAAATTACTGCCCAAGAGTACGAAGTATGTGGGATTATTATTATTATTATTACTGTGCATGAGCTTTCATTTGCTTAGCCAGTTTAAAAACAAACTTTCTAAATGACTCGCATCGCACGTCAGAAAAAGAACTTTAGGTGATGCTGAGGCTGTAAACTATAACAAGTGAAGCTTGATACTTGGAAAATCACATGAGAACAATGGCCAGACAGAATTATGTTGTAAAGTTGACATATGAGACTGCTAACCTTGGGTCTCTTCTTTGGCATCTGGGAATTGGAACCTTGGAAGTCCTTCCCACTCAGGGCAACGTGGTTCATGCTGAACAGTAGGTTTTGTACTGATCAGCTTCCATGTAAATCCTGGGCACCAGGTCTTCCTGGGAGCAAGCGTTACTACTCGGTTATTGGAGAGTGCATCTTGTTTGGTTCCTCCTGATAGACCATGCTGTCTTACTTTGAAAACAGCAGTATACTGAGTGCTGTCAAATCTCAGCATGTGGCTGAGGCCTTGAAGAACTCCAGACACAATTGTGCTAATAGGACCTTCTAGAAGCTTTTAATAATTGGCCTTCAATTTTGCCTCGTTTTTCATAAATGGATACTGGCAAGGAAAACTGTATGAATAAGTGATTACTAAATTGTATGTTACTATACCAATTATATGTTACTGTATGTCAGAAAAAAGGCTTTGGAAATTGCTTCCATGTTGCCAAGTGATTGGAGTCAGTGGTATTGGAAAAAACGTAAAGGCACAGATCATTCGTAGTGTCTAGGTCAGATGTCTGGGTCTGTTTATGGTGTAGGTTGATGCTGATCATTTTCAAGAATGTATCTGTACCCCCAGGGAGAAGTGTGGCCAGTTCCTTGTGGATTGTGTTGCCTATAGTGTATTAGTTACACTGCCGCTTTTTTCAGGAGTGGAAGTTTGTAAGTATGTGGTGGAAAGATCAGATTTGCTGTTTGGTTTTGTCTCTCTTCCTTTAGTGAAGTAGTAAGGTAGGTAGTTTCTTGGTAGGTGAAGGTTGGTGTGCACTAGAAAGGAGATAGGAGGAGCTGAACAGGTGAGCTGGAAGAACCTGGGGGCTGTAATCAGAAAGGAAATGCTGTGGTTGAATTAGTGGTCGTGTGTTGTAGGACACATGGAGCAAATTGATGATGGAGTTTGGAGGAAAGAGGCTAGGAAGAAATGAAGTGATAAGGACTCAGAAGCTTTATGTATTGGCGGTGAAGCCCGAATTTGTTGCAACTCAATTCAGTAGCTGGACTTAAAAGAAATGATCTTTGAAATATGGCAATCTTAAAAATTTCCTTATTTTAAACATAGGATGACTACACTACTTTAGAATTTAGTGCTGAGATGGAAGATTCCTTCCCTTAACTATCAGAAAGTCGATGAACAATCACGAAAATTGCCATTATCTTAGCTGCCAAGCTGGATGTAAGATGCAGATGCCTGCTTGCATGCAGACGCACTCCTGCTATGTAACTGCTCTCCTCTTCCATCCTGACCTAGAAGGCTAGCTCCCTGGCCTCTTCTAGGAGCACTAATCCTGTTCCTGAGAGCCTCACCCTTGTAACCTAATGTGCTCGCAAAGTCTCCACCTGCAGATACCAATTTCTTTTTTTTTTTTAATATTTATTTATTTTTATTACAAAGTCAGATATACAGAGAGGAGAGAGAGAGAGGAAGACCCTCCATCCAATGGTTCACTCCCCAAGTGACCACAACAGCCGGGCGGTGCTGTGCTTATCCGAAGCCAGGAACTAGGAACCTCTTCCGGGTCTTCCATGTGGGTGCAGGGTCCCAAAGCCTTGGGCCATCCTCAATTGCTTTCCCAGGGCACAAGCAGGGAGCTGGATGGAAGTGGAGCTGCCGAGATTAGAACAGGCACCCATACGGGATCCCGGGGCGTTCAAGGTGAGGACTTTAGCCACTAGGCCATGCTGCCATGCCCTGCAGATAAAATTTCAACATGGGAATTTTGGCACACTTAAAGCATTTGGTTTGTAACAAGGTAGCAGGTAAAAGTCAAATAGAATGTGCTCTTTGAACTTAGATTGAACTAAAATTTTGTCAGTTTTTGCTTATGTTTCCTATTTCTGCTAGACCAATGAAAATTGATGTCAGGTCTGTGCCTAGCCTAAGGGTGTAGACACCTGCATCCCACATTGGAGTTCCATACTGAGCTCTGCTCCTGAATCCAGCTTCCGATTGATACAGACCCTGGGATAGCAATGATGAGGCAGATAGTTACATTCCTGCCAGCCACTTGGGATACGTGGGTTAAGTTCCAGGCTCCTAGATTCACCTCTGTCTAGCCCCTGTCTTCAGTCAGCAGCAGCCATTATGGGTATTTGAAAATAGAAGATGGGTCTCTCTCTTTCTCTTCTTTCCTCCCTCTCAAATTTATTAAAAAAAAATTTTTTTTTAAAGATATACAGGCATAAGGTCAGAGAAGTCATTTAGAATTTGCTGTGCATTAAATAAGATGCAAAATTTTAGCTTCAAAGATTAAAGCATATTCATTTTTTTGCCTCAACCTTTTCAGTAAATAACAGATGCGGGTGAAAGATCCAACCAAGGTGTTACCTGAGAAAGCCAGAAGAAGTAAAAGGCCCACTGTACCTCATGATGAAGACTCTTCAGATGATATTGCTGGTAACTTGTAATTTCTGATTTCCCAAGTGATGTTGAACAACAGAAATAGCAATATATGTTTTTAACTAATACATCTCTTATTCTTACTGTTCATGGTTTTCTGCCAAATTTTACAGTCCATTTATCTGGTTCCAAAAATTCCTGTTGATGTTTTTATTGAGATTTTTTTAGTGTACATTAGTTAGACTTGCCATGTTGGCTTATTTTGTGCTTCCTCAGGGCGTATGAAAACCAGGCCTCCAGGCTGCCACAAGCTGACAGATGATCCTTCCGAGCTACTGGCTTCAGGGCTGGTTGGGCTGTTTAGTTTCATGCCTTGCTTTTGGCGTCTGATTTCCCTTACTTCTGTGCTAGTTGAATGCTTCACTTAAAATGATGTTTTTAATATAATTGCATGGTTTTAATGTTTCCATGGTTAAGTGTTAATTTGGAAATTTTTAAGTTCCCTGCATTGAAGTCTGAATTATATTTTTAAAAGTTTTTTCTGTTCTATTAATAGTTTTATTCAGAGATTCTCATTATTCTTACGTTAATTCCCATTGTTGTTCTTCTATAGTTATCATTTTTCTTAGGTCTTCTAAGGCTCCTATTTCCTTTTTATTGTGCTTGCCATTTCTTTTTTTTATTTTTTTTTTTAAAGATTTATTTTTATTATTTTTTCATTGGAAAGGCGGATATACAGAGAGGAGAGACAGAGAGGAAGATCTTCCGTCCGATGATTCACTCCCCAAGTGAGCGCAACGGGTCGATGCTATGCCGATCCGAAGCCAGGAGCCTCTTCTGGGTCTCCCACGCGGGTGCAGGCTCCCAAAGCCTTGGGCCGTCCTCGACCGCCTTCCCAGGCCACAGGCAGGGAGCTGGAAGGGAAGCGGGGCTGCCGGGACTAGAACCGGCGCCCATATGGGATCCCGGGGGTGCAAGGCGAGGACCTTTAACCACTTGCGCCACCGCGCCGGGCCCGTGCTTGCCATTTCTAATCCTTATTGTATTGTAGCAATATCTGTTTCACTCTACATTCTCTTTAGTTTGGTCTTCATTTTATAGTTTTATTTTTGAATATTTATTTTTTATTGAAAAGTCAGATATACAGAGAGAGAGAGGAAGAACTTCTGCTTACTGATTCACTCCCCAAGTGGCCACAGTGGCCAGAGCTGAGCCAATCTGAAGCCAGAAGCCAGGAGCTTCTTCCTGGTCTCCCACGTGGGTTAGAGGGTCCCAAGGCTTTAGGCTATCCTCTACTGCTTTCTCAGCAGGGAGCTGGATGGAAAGCAGGGCTCTGGGATTAGAACTAGCACCCATATGGGATCCAGGTGTGTGCAAGACCAGGACTTTAGCCATGAGGCTACTGTGCTGGGCCCTTTTTAAAAAACAATTTTTGTCTACATGAAAGGCACAGTGACAAAACAAGTAAAGAGAGAGAAGGAGGTAGGGAGGGAAAGAAAGAGAATATCTCTGCTAGCTCACTCCCTGGTAGCCAGAGCCTGGCCGGGCCAAAAGCAGGAGGCCAGAACTTCATCTGGATCTCCTTCAGAGGTGGCATCACCCACCACAGCAGCAGGAAACAGAGTCAGAAGTGTGTCAGCTGCCAGAACTGGACCTAGCACTCCCGTGTGGGTTGGGGTATCTAAAGTCATGGCTTTACCTGGCGCACCACAGTGCCTGCTTCTGGGGTTTTAGCTAAGTATTTCTTTTTGTTCCCCTTCTTTCCTTAGTTCTGCCATTGCTTTGTATTATTTTGTCATTCTGTCCTAGAACACTTGCTAGTGTTTTATATTTTTATGCCATGACAATGATTGTTCTGCATTTGTTTTGTTTTGTTTTTCCTTGTCCTCCCTTCCTTTTCCTTATACAGTTGGTACCCACCCCCATATCTGTGGGTTCCTTATCTGCACATTGAAAGTATTTGAGGAAAAAAACTTTATGCGGGATATGTACAAATCTCTCTTCTCTCTCTGGCTAGTATTCCTGAAAGAGCAAAATACAGCCAAAATTTACATAGCTGTTACATGGTATAAAGTATTCTAAGTAATTCAGACATAATTTAAGGTACATAGGGAGATATGTATAGGTTATATGCAAAAGGTGTTCTTATATGTGGGACTAAAGCATTCAGAGATTTTAGTAAACTGAAGGTTTTAGAACCTCTGTTCATACTCAGATAGTGAAAGAATTACATTATCTTAGCAAAAAATTTGAGGCTTTAATTTCCCTTTGATTGTTCATTCTTTGATGTTGGATTGCTTTTAGATAAGCTTGTTTGAGTATATTTGTGTAAGAAAATTGAGCCAGATAGACCCTTGTTGATACCTGCTAGAGTTTAAGCTTGAGTTCATTTAGCCTTTTGTTCTGGATTATGCAGCTCTGGGTTGTTCATAATATAGAGTGTCTCTTCTTCCCAGTTATCATGGACCCAAGACTGCTCCCTGAAAATGCAGAATATTTTTCCATGTATTTTTATGTCTCAGTGAATGATAATTTTTTTTCTTTTGCTTCCTCTCAAAATGAGATTGTCAGAACCCGGTGCAGTGGTGCAAATTAGGGCTCCGCCTGAAATGCTGGCATCTAAAATGGGTGCCAGTCCAAGTCCCATCTACTCCACTGGGACTGTGCAGGGAGAGCAGCAGAAGATAATCCAAGTATTTGGGCATCTGCCATCCAAAAAGGCTCCTGGTTCCCAGCTTCAGATTGAGGAATCTCAGCAACAACTGTCCCAGCCATCTAGGAAGTGAACCAGTAGATAGAAATCCAATCCCTCTATCGCTGTGTCTCCCTGTCTGTATCAAAACTCTACATTTCGGGCCCGGCGCGGTGGCGCAAGTGGTTAAAGGTCCTTGCCTTGCACGCCCGGGATCCCATATGGGCGCCGGTTCTAATCCCGGCAGCCCCGCTTCCCTTCCAGCTCCCTGCTTGTGGCCTGGGAAAGCAGTTGAGGACGGCCCAAAGCTTTGGGACCCTGCACCGGCGTGGGAGACCCGGAAGAGTCTCCTGGCTTCAGATCGAGCATGGGCCATTGCGCTCACTTGGGGAGTGAATCATCGGACGGAAGATCTTCCTCTCTGTCTCTCCTCTCTGTATATCCGCCTTTCCAATAAAAAAAAAATAATAAAAATAAATCTTAAAAAAAAACCTCTACATTTCAAATATAAATAAATCTTTAAAGATTTTATTTTATTTGTAAAGCATATCATTACAGAGAGAGGGGAGACAAAGAGTTCTTCCATCCATTAATTCACTCCACCACATATCCTCAATGGCTCACTCCCCAAATAGCAGGAGTTAAGCTGATGCAAAGCCTGGAGCCAGGAGCCTCCTCTAGGTCTTCCATGAGGGTGCAGGGGCCCAAGGACTATCCTCTGCTGCTTTCCCAGGCCACAAGCAGGGAACTAAATTGGAAGGGAAACAGCCAGGAACAGAATTACCCATATGGGATGCTGACACTAGCAGATGGAAGTAGCCTGTTAAACCACTGCACTAGCCCCAAGATTCTGAATTAAAAAAAAAAAAGTGTTTGAAGGCAAAGACAAAGACAGAGGGCAAAATAGAGTGGGAGTGCTTGCATAGGAGTATTTCTGTTTGCTGTCCCACTCCCCAAATGCCATCATTGGCTGGGGCTGGGCTGCAGGCTAAGTTCAGAGCTGACAGCTCAGTCTACATCTCCCAAGTAGGTGGTTCTTACTTCTGTGGAATGCATTGGTGGGGGGCTGGAACAGGAGCTGAATCCAGGAAACCCAGCTACTCTGGTTTGTGGGCATCTTAACTGGTATCATCGTAACCAGCACTTTCTTTAATGGCATGAATCCTTGCTTTATGAATATGTCAACTGGAACATTACTCATTTTATATTCATTTTTTAAAAGATTTATTTATTTATTTATTTAATTTTTGAAAGCCTGAGTTACAGAGAGAGAAGGTGAGAGAGATCTTCCACTTGGTGATTCACCCACCAAATGGCAGCAATGGCTAAAGATGAACTGGTCCAGTGCTGAGAATAGAAGTTTTTTCCCGGTCTCCCCCATGGTTGCAGGGACCCTAGTACTTCAGCTGTTTTTCTGGATATGTTAAGAGGGAGCTGGATAGAAAGTGGAGCAGCCAGGACTTGAACTGACCCTCATATGGGTGCCAGTGGTACAGGCACAGGTTAAGCCACTAGGCTGTGGCCTGGGCTCCATGTGTCCTTATAGCCTGCTCTTGTTGTAAAATTAGAACTTTTAGAAGATTTGCATGTTTTTTTTAAGTTAAATTTTATTTTGAATAATTTGTCAGGAATCACATTTACACTATTCAGCCGGGCCCGGGAAGTTGTTTTAAAGGATCATTAGGTACTAGGTAAAATAACATGAGGGAATACTCATTAAGCAGAAATCTGGGAATTATTAAAGAAACCATGTTTATTTTAGAGGTGAGGAAAAAGGGAAATGAGTTTGGGATATCTCCCATTGTTGGTTCCTGGGGACTGTGCCAGTCTGAAACTGGGATCTAGAAATAATCAGAGCTAGGTCTCTCAAATGGGCGATAGGGACCCAAGAGCTTGAGCTGTCATGTGCTGCCTTCTGGGATCGACATTAACAAGCAGCAGAGTGGAACTGAAACCTGAACCCAGGCACTCTGAAATGAAGTGTGTAAGTCCTAAGCAGCATCATTTTTCCCCCCCCAAGATTTATTTATTTGAATGGTAGAATGAAAGAGAGGGAGAGAGGGAAAGACAAGAGGAAGAAAAAGTAATCTTCCATTCACTGGTTCACCCGCAAGAGGCAACAATAGCCAGGACTGGGCCATGCAAATCTCAGAGCCAGAAATTCCTTCTGTGTCTCCCACATGGGTGGCAGGAATTCAAGTACGTGAACCACCCTCTGATACTTTCCAAGCATAACAGGGAACTGGATCTGGTGTGTAGTGAGTGGAACTCAAACAAGACACTCCCAGCATGGGGTGAAGGTGTCCCAAGTGACAGTGTATTGTCTTCCCCACAATGCCATACTCCTAAGCAGCATCTTAGCTGTTGGGCCAACTGCCTGCCCTGATACCATTTTAATGCTGTTGGCTTTTTGGTAGCACTTTAGCTTAGTAGAGAAAAGATTAACACATTGGTAATTTTCTCTTACTCAGTAGGTTTAACTTGCCAACATGTGAGCCATGCTGTCAGTGTGAGTCATGTGAAAAAGGCAACAGCTGAACATCTGTGGTCAGTTTGTTCAGAATGTTTAAAAGAACGGAGATTCCATGATGGACAGCCAGTCCTTCCTTCTGATGTTTGGTTGTGCCTCAAGTGTGGTTTTCAGGTAAGGAAAATGTTACTACCGTGTCTTAATTTGTCTTAAATGTTTTCCTTATATACTTGACTGTGATTTGGGCTGTGAGTGACATGTATAGTTTAAGATGAATTTATTCCATATTTAGCTTGAAATTTCTCATGAATGAGCTTATTATTGAGGTTTGAGGTAAAGTAACAAGTATGCTATGTTCAGAAAGTAGTAATGTGTGGCTTATAAATACTTTGGTAGGCAATCCAGCCCACTTGTACTAGTTCCTATATCTGGACCTGTCTTTTGTGCATTTATTTCAAAAATGGGTCTTCTTTTCAGATTTTTTTTAAGGCATATTTACTTGAAAGGGTTACAGAAGGAGAGATAGCGAAATCTTCTACTTATTGGTTCATTCCCAAAGGCCAGGGCTGGGCCCGGCTTCCTCTGGGTGTCCCACATGGGTGGCGGGTGCCCAAACCCTTGAGCCATCCATGCCCAAACCCTTGAGCCATTCTTTGATGCTTTTTCCATAAACAGGAAGCTAGATCAGAAGTAGAGCAGACAAGACTGGAACTGATGTCTACACGGGACGCTGGTGTTGGAGGCAGCTGCTTAAACTACTGTACCATACATAGTGCAGCCTCCAGACTCATTTCTGTTCCCTCACAAAGAATTCTTCTTTTTTTTTTTTTCAGAGAATAAGATATTAGAATTCAAGAGATATTGATGTCTAGAGTAAAGGAATTTTCTCTTGAAATTGGAAGTGTGTGTTCTCATGTTTTTTTGTTTGTTTTGTTTGTTTTGAACTAAGAAATGAATCTTGGTTATCCGAGGTAGAAGTTCAAGAGTAGGGCCATTCTAATGCTAATGAACTCAAGGGAGAGAACATTCGAAATGCAGATTTCTTCCCCTTTTCTGCAGTGCTGTCTTCAGCCTAGTGGTTTGAGAATATCTGAGAATGCTTCAGGCATTCTTTGTTACACAGTAACCCCCACAGTTCATAAGGAATGGAAAGAGACTGCCTCTTCCATGTGTTCCCTCCCAGAGCATACAGCAATGTGAGTCTTCCTCATGTCACCTTAACTGGAATTTCCTTTCCTTTCCTTTCTTATCTGGTGAGGAAAGTCACTGTGCTTGGCCGATGTCTCACTTTTTCTGTGAGGGTTGGGGGTCACAGACTAGCAAAAATGTGTGTTTGGGGAGGGGCACTGCTGGCCTAGCAGGGTGCTCAGGGTCACTCAGGGATATGTTGATGAGTGAGAGTGAAATTACCTTTGCACATGTTTGTTACAGGAGAATACTAGGTAACAAAAAGCAAGTGAGAGTCTTTGCAAAAATTTAAATTTAGTGAGAATTGGTATTGCCTTCCAAACAAAATGTGTTTTCAGTGTGAGTTTAATTAGGAGTTAAGTTTTCATTAGCCTTCTATGTGAATCAGGAAATGACATTCAACTCACTTTCAGGGTTGTGGTAAACACTCAGAAGGCCAGCATTCCCTTAAGCACTTTAAGAGTTCCAGACCAGAGCTGCATTGCATTGTCATCAGTCTGAGCACATGGATTATATGGTAAGTTCAATTGTATTAAGGCTGTGCCTGCCTCTCTGAAAAAAAATTAGTTTCTTTGAGCTCCGTAGGACAGACTATTAGGTGTTTTGCTAGTTTATGCTTCCTTTTTTTTTTTACCTTAAACACAAACTACAGAATAATTTAAGAAAACTAATATTACCCATGACTACAAAATCTAAATAGAAAACAAAATATGATTATTTCTCTACTTTCCCCTAACTTGTTTATCCATAAGGAGAAACTCTTTTTAGTTGATTTTATGTAATGAGCTTGCTAGTACAGAATTCCACTGCTAAGTGGAAGGTACTTGAAAGAGGCAAGTGGCTTGGTGAGTCTCTGCAGGGGGATGGGAAAGCCTGGGCATTAGTAGTCAGCAAAGATTTGTAAGTTGATTCTGCTACTGAAGTGCTGATTGAGAACCTAGTCTAATTCCTCTTTTGTAAAGTAACTGAGTTTCATTTACTGTTATGTGGTTACAAAGTAAGAATACATGGGTTCTGAAGTGTTTTGATGCTCTGGTTTCCCATAAGCATACTACACTGTTTCAAAGTGAATGGTGTATTGAAATGATTTTTCTGTATTTATGTGTTTATTTGAAAGAAGAATATAGAGAGAGAGATCTTCCAGTTGCTAATTAACTGCCCAAATGGCCTCAGTAGTCAGGGCTGGGCCTGGCTAAAACTGGAGCCTGGATCTCCATCTGGGCTTCCCATGTGAGTGGCAGAGGTCCAAGTCCTCTACTGCTTTCCCAGGCACATTAGCAGAAAACTGGATCAGAAGTGAAAGAGCAGGACCGATACCTGATGCCATCATTGCAGGTAGCGGTTTAACTTGCTATGCCACAACACCAGCCCTACAATAGTTTTCTAAGTGAAATCTGTAGATTTCTAGGGTTTCTTTCTTTCTGTCTTTTGTATAAGATTTATTTACTTATTGAAAGAATTACAGTGAGTTGGGAGAGAAAGAGAAGTTCTACCTGCTGGTTCACTCCCCAAATGGCTGCAGTAGTTGGGACTGGGCGAGTGACTTCCTTTGGTTCTCCCATGTGAGTGCAGGGGCCCAAGCACATGAGTCATGGTTTCACTGCTTCCCTAAGTACATTAGTAGGAAGCTGGATAGAAAATGAAGCAGAAGTGTGCCACCTGACACTCCTAAGGCATAAAAGGCAGCATAGGTGGCAGTTCTGCTCACTGCCCTTCGATGCCATCTCCCTAAGTTTTATTCAAATGAAAGTGCTTTAGCTTTGTCTTTTTATTTCACGGTTTTGTAATTAATAGCAGGATATTTTGACTCATAGAAGAGATCATAATTGTATAATTTAATATAATCACAGAGGTTGCTGTTTGTCACAACTCTGTGTTTTGTTATTGCTGTTATTGACCCCCAAACAACTGAACTGGGGAGAATATGGAGAGAACTGATGATACATTTGAACTGAGGGAAGGGGCCCTCTCAATTTACAAAGTGTTCCAGAATCAGCAGGAAAGCTTGTTACAGCAGATGACTGAGTCCCAGGCTTGGGAAAGCCTAATGCATTCCCAGTTGTTGCATTGCTGCTGACCTGGGAACCACAGTCTGAGAACCGCTGAAATAGAAAAGGTTACAGGAGAAGTGTGTTAGTGTGTAAACCTAACTGAGGGTGGTTTTCAGAACTGGAATGTGCTTTGGAAAAATCCCTTTCCTCATCTCTTACCTCCAGGTACGCCCCAGCAAAGAAGGCTGAAACAGCTATGTTTTCCCATATCTCAGTAGCAGTTCCATTGCTGTAGTTATCAAACCAAGAAGCCTGGCAAATATAAACAGAGAAGACCTTTTCATCTACCTTTTATTTTTTTTAAACCTTTTAACAAAAACAGACAAAATGGTATTCCTGTCCTCTGTCACCCAGCATTGGATGTTATTAACTCCAAACTTGTTTTATCTAGACCAGGATTTCTCAAATTGAGTGTCATTGGTATTTCGATTAGTATTTCAATGATATTTTTTTGTGATAAGTGCCTTCTTGTGCTGTCCTGTTACAGCAATAGGGGGTTTTCACAGTTTCCCTGGCCTCTACCCATCAGGTGCTAGAAGCAGCCAGGAATCAACCAAAAATATCTCTAAACATTGAAAAATCCTCCTTGAGGACAAAAATGACACTTGTCATTTCTTTCAGTTCAGTTATTTTGATTCTGTCCATTCTATCACCTTTTATATCTAATTCATTATTGTTTCTACCTGAAAATATACATAGTGAGTATGTCTATGTCTGGATCCATTGTCACTGGGCTAATATATTTCTGTTCTTGTGTGCCCCCATCTAGTGTATCAAGTTCATCTGGATGATGCTTTTAAAATATAAATTGAGGGCCCTGCACGATAGTCTAGTGGCTAAATTCTCACCTTGCATCCGCCATGATGCCTTATGGGTACCAGTTTGTGTCCTGGCTGCTCCACTTGCCATCCAGCTCCCTGTATATGGCCTGGGAAAGCAGTGGAGGATAGCTCAAGGCCTTGGGACCTTGCACCTACATGGGAGACCCAGAAGAATCTCCTGGCTCCTGGCTTCAGATCAGCACAGCTCTACCCATTGTGGCCACTTGGAGAGTGAACCAGGGGACAGAGGATCTTTTTCTCTGTCTTTCCTTCTCTCTGTAGATCTGCCTTTCCAATAAAAAATAAAATAAATCTATCTATCTATCAATATATATAAATTGTGTCACATCATAGTCCTGCTGAAAACCCCCCTTCAGGTCTTCCATTAAACTTAAAACCAACTTCCAAAACCTTCATTTGAGCTGTAAGGCCCTGTGAGAATTACAACCTGCTTGCTTTTCTACCCCATACTTTCTCCTTTGCATTTCCTCCCATGTGATTTCAACGTGTGTGTGTGTGTGTGTGTGTGTGTGTGTTGATTGCTATTTCCATGATACAGTTTTGTAAGGATAGGGATTTCTTCTCCCCTCTTTCCTTTTCCCACTGTTTTCCCCAAAATTATTATGATATTATAATCCTTCAGCAACATTACAAGTCCAACATTTGTCTGTTTAAGTATATCATGGCATTGTAAGTATAGGCAGTGGTAGAAAATCTAGTGTCATATTGTCAAAATGTATTTAAGTTTTTTTAAATATGGAAATTTTCTTATTTATTTATTTATTTATTTATTTTTATTGGAACAGCAGATCTACAGAGAGAAGGAGAGAAAGAGAGAAAGATCTACCATCTGCTGGTCCACTGCCCAAATGGCTGCCATGGTTGCCATGGAGCTGAGCTAAAGCCAGGAACCAAGAGCCTGGAGCTTCTTCCGGGTCTCCCACACATGTGCAGGGTCCCAAGGCCTTGGGCCATCTCCACTGCTTCCCAGGCAGTAGATAAACGAGGAGCTGGAAAGGAAGTGGAGCAATTGGGATACAAACAGGTGCCCATATGGTATCCTGGCAGATGCAAGGCGAGAATTTGGTCACTAGGCTATCGCGCCAGGCCTGTATTTAACAGTTTCATTGGCAGCCCTTTTATTTTGGGAGTTAGAAATGCATACTGCAACGTTTTTTCACTTCCAGATATGCTAGTCTGCATTATACATGCAAGATAGAAAGCAATAAGATTATAGGTAAGCATATATATATATATTCTCATAGATAAAGCTATGTAAGTACTAAAATGCCAGCTTTGTTACTTAACATGCAAAATGATTGCAGGTGCTTTCATAACATATGCTTAAATTTTATGTTTTTCAGGTGTTACGAGTGTGATGAAAAATTATCAACACATTGCAATAAGAAAGTTTTGGCTCAGATAGTTGATTTCCTCCAGAAACATGTTTCTAAAACTCAAGCAAGTAAGCTGAGCAAATTGCTGCATTAAGATATTATATTTCATATAAAACTTTCATAAACTCGTAAGATTTCACTGTTATATCTTGGTTTGTAAGTTGTGTGAAGATTTTATGTAGATCATGCATTCTTAGATGCAATCTTAGGATATTGCGGTGTGTTTATATAACCAGTCCAAGTAGCTGAATCTTGGCCTTTAGGTGCAACAGCCCTGAGTTTGAATTTGGACTCCCTCACTTATTGCCATGTGACTTTTGCTCCTTTGTGTACCTAATTGAAAACTTACAATGATAATTCTTACCTTGTGGGACTATTGCAAGGCTTACAAATGGTATTTTCTAAAGATTTAGAAATGTACATGAAAATACTGGCATAGTGCCTAGAAGGTATCTGTCATTATTTGCGAAAAAAAACTTGAGTGTGTTTCTGATATAAGCATTTGGAGTTAGGCCAAACTTCAGAGGTTAAAGGCTGAGTTGCACACACAGCTGCTCTCATTTCTGACACCAGCCATACACTGCAGTGTTCTCAGATCTCTGTGCTTCAGCCAAACAATGTGGGGCTCCCACTTCAGGTTAGTAATTCAACAGAAAGATACCTGTGGTTGCAGTTTTTAAGAAATAGAATAGGGCCCAGCATGGTAGCCTAGCAGCTAAAGTCCTCACCTTGCACAAGTCGGGATCCCATATGGTTGCCAATTCTAATCCTGGCAGCCCTGCTTTCCATCCAGCTCCCTGCCTGGGAAAGCAATCGAGGACAGCCCAAAGCCTTGGGACTCTGCACCTGCGTGGGAGACCCGGAGGAAGCTCCTGTCTCTTGGATTCAGTTTGGCATAGCTCTGGTCAGTGCGGTCATTTGGGGAGTAAATCATCGGATGGAGGATCTTCATCTATGCCTCTCCTCCTCTCTGTAAAATATATCTGTAAAGTATATCTGACTTTATAATAATAAATAAATAATTATTTTTTTAAAAAAAGAAATAGAATAAAAGGATATAAATTAAGACCAAAGAAGAGACCCATAACTAAAAAGAGGGGACCTAAATGTGAAGTTTCTGCATCTAATGCAAAGGGAGTATGACCTTCCCTTCCAGAAAAAAGGAACCCATACACACATTGTGTGATAATATACATGAATGTTGTTAACCAGGGAAGCTCACAAGAGCTTTGGGATTGAGTGGGTTTTTTTTTTTTAAGATTTATTTATTTTTATTGGAAAGGCAGATATACAGACAGGAGGAGAGACAGAGAGGAAGAGCTTCCAGTCGATGATTCACTCCCCAAGCAGCCTCAACGGCTAGTGCTGAACCAATCCAAAGCCAGGAGCCAGGAGCTCTTCCAGATCTCCCACATGGGTGCAGGGTTTCAAGGCTTTGGGCCATCCTCAACTGCTTTTCCAGGCCACAAGCAAGGAGCTGGATGGGAAGCAGAGCCGCCGTGATTAGAACCAGAGCCCATATGGGATCCCGGTGAGTGCATAGCAAGGACTTTAACCACTATGCTATTGAGCTGGGCCCGAGATTGAGTGTTTTCATTGGAGTTTCATCAATGTAGGCATGATCGATTAAATAATCACCATATCAGTTTTACTCAGTCTTAGTTTCCACAGCTCTGTCATCGCCTGGCTAGACCTGGCATCAGCAGTGCCCATCCTGAGTTGTCTCTTTAGCATAAACTGTCTAGGAATCCACAATGAGTCAGTTTTTTGGCACGGATTCTCTGGTGTCATCCGAGGGGTCCCAGTAACGACAAGAACTTGAAGAGTACTTCCCAGGAACCTGGGATAGAGGTCAGGCAGACCCTTTATAATATATTAGTAACATACATTATGCAGTTTGTTACCTAAGTAATATGTTACCTGACATGCTCTATGTAACTATAATAATATGTATTTGTTAAATAACATGCTAATGAAAATGTCAATATGCAAATGTTAATTAAAATTTAGAGTAATTAAATTATTAAAGTAAATTAAACCTTTTAAATATTTATTTTTGTTTAAATGGTAGAGTTGCAAAGAGGAGAGAGATGTCTTTTTAATTTTTAAAATTATTTTATGTTTAATGATGTTTATGTAATTGAGAGGGATACATGCCCATGTGGGCGTCCGATTAGGGTGGGGAAGATGAAGGGATGGAGGAAGGTGAGTGGGACAAATGTTTCGTTTCTTTTTACTTTTTTTCTCCTGTTCCTGCAGTGGGGGAAGGGAAGGGACTGAGCCTTGCTGTCAAACTACATCAGCACCTGAGTACAGGAGACGGTCATTTGATGACTCCTTAGAGACCCTGATGCGGGGAAGAATGTTTCAGGGGTGTTACTTGAGTAGTCTTTTTTTTTCTTAACATCAACCACAGTTTACTACATGATACAAAGCTGACTGCTATACACCTTAAAATGGCTATTTTTTTTTTTAATAGTCTTTATAGTTCTGAAATATTGTGAGTTTCTTTGCTCCAGGGTTGAGAAAATCTTCCCAAGGTTTGTTGGCTGATCAGGTATACCTTAGTGCATCCATAGACCCAGGAACATGTTGCAAAGCTTGAGTAGGAGAGTTGACCAACCTTGTTCTGCTTTCTATCCTCTGACAAGGCACTCAGTGTTCTCTGATAGCCTGGATGAGCTGGCTGTAATTTTTCACATGTGCATCTAGGCTTGCTGTCCACTACATGGGCATTAGGAACTGAGGAGGCCCAGTGCTGATACATGCATGCCAAGACCAGACCATGTATCTTGTGGTTTTCCCTGTGGCCTGAGTTTGAATTCACTGATCTAGTTGGAGTGTCCTCCCAAGAAACCTCACCCAGGGTGACCTCAGACTTGACTCTTGTATGTCCCAGCCAGTGCAGGGTCAGGTGTGTTCTGCTACCTGTACCAGTCAATGAACATACCAGTAGATGTAACTGACCAGGATCAGTTCTGCATCTGGTTCTTTCTCTCACATGAACCAAGAGTACTGTGGCTTAGCCCAGTCCAGGCTGTCACAGGCCTGGTCATCACAGACACCAGCAGGTACCACATCCCTGTCAGGGCTACCCCAGTTATCCCCACCAGACCGATCCCCACCCTAGTTTTTGCACATGCTAGCATGTGCTGCAGCCTAGCCTAACGGTCTGCATTCCATCTGGCTCTCATGCACACCCATGGGTGCTGCACCCCAGCTTAGCCCACCCTGCTCCAGACCCAGCCCACGTCCAGCCTGGCTTAGCCCCGCCCCAGCCCTGACTTTTGTGTTCATCAGCTAGAGTTGCAGCTCAGCCAGAGCAGTACTCACAGTCCTGCCAGGCCCACCACCAACCCTGCATGTTGTACTTGCCTGGGGGTACTGAGGCCCAGCCTGCTATGACTCTTATCTAATCCTGGTACTTGCCGGCTTGTGCTGTGGTCTAGCCTGGCCAGCCTGTACTCATTCCGGCTCTCCGTGTGCTCCAGTGGATGTGACAGCCTAGCCGATGCTAGCTCTCCTGCACGCCAGTGGGTACTGTGGCCTGTCCCAAACCCTGCCCACGCACATGCTGACAAATGCTGCAGCCTTGCCTGGCCTGGCCCACTCCCATGGTCCCCAGTGGGAGCTGCAGCCTAGCAGAGAACTCTTCAAATTCCCCTACCAGCACCTCTCCCAGCCCTAGAACTCATGCGTGCTGGAGTGTGCTGAGGCACTGCTTGGCATGGTCCACTCCCAGTTCCAGCCTTTGCATGTCCCAATGGGTGCTACAACCTGGTCTCTCCTGGCTCAGCCCCAGGTAGGGTGCTGCAGTTCCACAGGGGTGAACCCACAAATCCTCTATGTGAACTGCTTCATATCTGATTCGGTAATGTTTTGGAGGCTGCTATGACCCAACCTGATGTATCCCAGCCCCTGTTCCAACACCCCTGGGTGGATACTGCAGCCTAGCTCTGCCAGGAAAGCCCCCCAGCTCCAGCTTTTGTGTATGATGGCAGTCAGCGGGCAGTGCTACTTAACGCATGCATAGGTCTTGCATGTAAGCGGGTGCCTCGAACCAGCCACATGTACAGTTTCCTGTCCTTAAACCTCCTCGTCTCAGTTTCCTTGCCCATCTGCAAGTTCAGTGGCCTAGTCCATTGAAGCCCCGAGAAGTCACTCCTCAGACTTTGTTCCCTGAGAAATCATGTCTGGGAGCCAGGGCTGAGTGTCCCAGCCCATTGTTTCCCATCCACTGCACAAAAGTCTGCAGCATTTCCTGCACATCTGCAGAAAATGTAATAAGCAACTATGCTGGCACACTGGTATACTGTTGGCATTACCCAACCTCAGAAGGCCTGCCAGTTATTGACTGCTTTTTTCCTAGCAGTGTAACACTTGTCTAGGTACAAGGTAAGCCTGAGAGTTGCCTGCAGCTGGGGGACAGAGGTCTTAGCTGATTCACTCCCCAAATGGCCACAAATGCTGTAACTGAGCCAGTTGAAGCTGAGCCAGAAGCTTCCTATGTGGGTATTAGAGGCCCAAGGACTTGAACCACTCTCCACTATACCAGGCCATAAGCAGGGAGCTGGATTGGAAGTGCACAGCTGGGACACAAATAGGTGCCCACATGGGACGCTGGTGCTATAGCCAGAGGCTAGGCTTAGTACACCACAGCACTACCCTTGAAAATAATTTTTAAAAACTGAAAATTCGGCCCGGCGCGGTGGCGCAAGTGGTTAAGGTCCTCGCCTTGAACGCCCGGGATCCCGTATGGGCGCCAGTTCTATCCTGGCAGCCCCACTTCCCTTCCAGCTCCCTGCCTGTGGCCCAGGAAAGCAGTCGAGGACGGCCCAAAGCTTTGGGACCCTGCACCCGCATGGGAGACCCGGAAGAGTCTCCTGGCTTCGGATCGGCATAGCATCAGCCGTTGTGCTCACATTGGGGAGTGAATCATCTGATGGAAGATCTTCCTCTCTGTCTCTCCTCTCTGTATATCTGCCTTTCCAATAAAAAAAATAATAAAAATAAATCTTTAAAAAAAACCTGAAAATTATATAAAAATATAATTGCCAGGTGTATTTCC